CTTGGGCAAACAGAACTCCACATTTTCAATAAAGGTTTACTTGCTGCAGATTGTTATTGTGATGAAGTTATCTTTCCCAAGGTCTGTAGAAGAACAGGTTAGCTCACTTAAGTAAACAAATGAAAACATACTGCTCTACATTGAAAATGCAACACCAAAAAGGAGTGGTCAGAAAGTGATGAAATTTGGCGAAAAGACAGAGGCAGCAATAAGTGATCTTTATTTCAAAATGATTAGTCAGAATACAGAGCACCACTGCGGACAGCGATGCATGAAGAAACACGTCTAGGCATAGAGTCAATAAGAGTGCAGATGGTGTCCTGAGGGATGGCTCTCCATTCCCTTTCAACCATTTGCCACAGTTCTTCTTCTGAGCGAGGCAGGGGCAAAGTCTGCAAACGGCATCCAATCACATCCCACACATGTTCGATTGGTGACAGGTCAGGAGAGTATGGTGGCCAGGGAAGCATCTGTATAACTTGCAAAGCATGTTGACAGATGCGAGCACTGTGTGGTCGAGCATTATCCTGCTGAAAAATTGCATTAGGCAGTCCCTGAAGGTAGGGGATTGCCACCGGCCGCAGTACATTATCCAAGTATCGTTAGGCCATCATAGTGCCCTGAATAGGAACTAGAGGTGACCTGGAATTGTAGGCAATAGTGCCCCAAACCATTATGCCACGTTGTAGCACGGTGGGGCTTTCCACAGTTACTGCCAGATTAGATCTGCCTCCACATCGACGCCACACACATATGCAGCGACTGTCACTGGAAAAACAGAAGCGTGACTCATCTGAGAACATGACGTTTTGCCATTCTGTCATCCACATTGCTTCAGTCTGGCACCATTCTAAACATGCTGTGTGGTCAATGGCAGTAGCGTCTATGCTGTGTGGTCAATGACAGTCTTCTTAACAGATGCCATGAGTGCAGGCTACGTTCAACGAATCGACGAGAAATGGTTCTGGTCGACACAAGAAGATCTAGGGTATCTTGCACATGCTGCAGAATCGTGGTACAAGTGACTTGCGGGACCACCACAGCTTGTCGGCGGATGCGTCTATCCATGCGTGCTGACATCACTCTGGCTGCACCTGCACCCCTCCTTCTTCCCACATTTTCTTTTTTCAACCATGTTCGCCATAGCCGATGCACCGTGCTTGCATCCATGTAGGTATCAGCTGCGATTTGATGTAAGGACCAACCCGCCCTTCTCAGTCCGATCACCATACCCCTCGTAAAATCGTCTATCTGCTGGAAGTGCCTTTGTTGATGGCGGCCTGGCATTCTCTCCTATTTCACGTATCCTCCAGAACAAAAACCAACTTTCTTTGATAATTCCTCTGGCAGAAATAACGACACGAATATTGCCCACTCTGCAGGTTCTTTCCCTTATAGCTTACTTCAGGTGCGTTGGAGAGCTGCACATTTCACATTATTTGCATAACTCAGTGAGGTGCGTCTACTTTACAATTTGCCTAAATTTCTGACCACTCTTTCTTGGTGTTGCATTTTCAATGTTGAGCAGTGTATATTCTTGCTCTCTGTTAGCTGTGATGTCACTGAAGTTCTCTCTCGTGAGAATACCATAAGCTTCTCCATTGATTTAAGCTGAATGTAATTTTTTTCCTGTCTGGGGAAATTGTCTTTTTCTTCTGTAACAAATATTATTACGTTTATTATAGCATAATGGTTGATATGCACTTTATGATAATATTATGCACCAATAATGTAGGCGAAATGAAAAATAATCAGCAAAGCATATAATTTCAGAGGTATACAACTCTATAGTACGTACTAATTTGATTTAAACAGCAGTGGTACAACTAATTTTGAACTTTCAGGTTATGTAAATTAATTTGCAGACGTTGAATTCATTAATATATGTAGAAACTTCTATGTATTCAATTATGCATATTTAAATATGAATGGTGGAGGGACAGAAGTGAAACTGAAAACATAAATTATGAAAATAACATAGTGTGGACTAATATGTAATAAAGTCATATTACATTTGAAATTTTATTGAATGGATTTGTGTTTCTTCCCTACAAGAATATATGAATACCATATATCAGACACATATTTGCTCTGTTTAATTTTAAGCAAACTGTTTTTAAATATTTTGATTACTTCCCAGAACACAAAATTGCACATAATTGAAAATGTCATTTTTATCGATTTCAGTTAATTTAGCTATTCATGTAATTATTTTTATTTTTGTTATATATATTCTAAGAGATGTTAGCAAAAAATTAATTACAGAAGTGTTTCAGAGATTTATCACTACAGTATTTTACATGTTTGTACCTTAAAATCATTTTATTAACTATTGAGATTTCAGATCTTTAGAAAGACAGTGTAAAGGAGAGGAAAAGTAATCAAATAACTGTTCTAACTTACTGTTCTCCGTTTCCCATATTACTGTTTTGCTAATGCAAAAGGGCTTGCAGAAGTTATTTGATTTGTTTCAGTTTTGGCTATATATAACTAGAATTTCTTGGCTATTTTTTTTTTTTTTTGATAAATACATCTAATCCTCTTATTCTATTGTTCTTCATTTTACCTTCCTTTCCCTTTCATATTTCTTACTTGATTATCACTTGTTTGTAATTTCCTTCCTGTTATGTAGGTAAGAAACATGAATTTTGAATTACCTGATAATGTACAAAATAACATTTTGAATACCGCTGTGAATTGTGAGACATGTTTAATAACCATTATTATAAAGCACTCCACTCCTCCTTTACGATCTTCTAGAGTCCATCCAATATTTTGGGATGCCGCTTATAAATAACTTATAAAGAACTTGTTTTAAAAATCCATTTGCACAATAATCCATAGGAGACACATCAGGGTACCTTGGTCGAATGCATTTAAAGGAAATAGCTTCAATTCTGGTTTCATTTCTCATTTTTTTTCCAAAAATAGAGCAGTAGATTTAGAGGTATGGCTTAGAGCCGTATTCTGATGGAACTTAACACAGTGAAGATTGTTTATACGGTCAAAAGTCGTTAATCCGGACTCGTCGGGACTTCGGTGATTCCGGATTATCGATCATCAGTTTAAATCTGGTAAGATGGCATGCAGAAATTATAAAATTAAAAATATGCAACCGTAATTTATGAAATAAAGAACAATTATGATCTAAAGGGTATCAAAATTTACAAAAAAAAAAAAAGCTTAATATTTATTTATTTTATTAAACATTTCTTTCAATGTAAGTTGTTTAAATTGCCTCGTTTTTTATGTGATAATACATTCTCTTTAATTCTTTAAACAGACATAATTTCTTGTTCAGTTACAAAGTTCCGCTGTTTAAGTCCTATAATTGCTGTGTCGAGAATACCGACTAATTTGTCAATTGAAATTTTTTCGTTTTCAATAACCTCTGTTACTTTCTTCGCTATCGGAAGCGAATTATAATGACGAGGAATTTGATTTAAATACTGTCAAAGATGGAGTACATCGAGATGAAATACTACATTTAATAAGGAATTATAAGCCAAATAAAATAAAAACATCTGTCCTGAAGATAAAGATAGTGCTGACAGATCAACTTCCAATTCATTGCGCAGCGCCACGGCGTTAAACAAAGTTTCGATAAACAAATGTTAAAGTTTAGATAAACAAAGGATATACCTTTATCTATTTTTGTAGCAATTCCACCTTTTGTTTAATGAACTTCCGAAACATACTTTCGTTTTGTAGATCATTTACATATTAATAAATATATATCAGAAATTCTATTTGACATAATCGAAAGTTCAAGCTTACTTTTATAAAATTGCTCTAACAGTCTGCAAAAAATAATAAGCCGGATCCAATTCGAAGATTAAGGAACAACGCAATCTGCAACATTAACTGAAATAGATAATTAAATAATTTTAGCTTAGCTTACACCGTCCGTTATACATTAAACGTGCACTCGTAAACGTATTTTGTGCACGTGCACAAGCATATTCTCAGCTGTAAAGGCCTTACGCACATGCGCAACGTGATGCATGCGCAGAAAGTTTGAAGCTTTGAGGTCTGGATTATGGGTGACCGAATTAACGACTTTTGACTGTATAAACAGATGGAATTTCTTCTTTTAAAACAAGTGTTAAAAAATAGTTCTGACAGTAATCCGAATTAAATTTTGACAATTTTTTCTACTTTCCTTATTTTAAGTTTCCCGTTATAAGAGAATCCAGTAATAACCATAAGACCTTTAGGAAAACTTTCCTTGATTTTCTCTGAACCAACTTATTAAGTCTTTTTCTCCTCTTTTTTGGTAGTAAATCAAACTTTTTCTATTGCAATCAGATAAGTATATCCAAGCCTCATCATTTGTAAATATATATTTCTTTTTTTCATCTGCCAAATAATTTTCATGCAGCGATCTGCACATAGTCTTATGCTGAGAAACATGTTTTGCCATTAGGTGATGAACATCATGTCCCCCCGTTTTGATTAGCTTTAAATCCGATTTTACAATTTTGTTCACAGTTCCTACAAAGATTTTGTAATAGCTCTTTTTTGGGAGTCTGGATTTTCCTTTAAAAATGATGAGATTAAAGAGATGTGACTTTGCATTTAATAAGAGCTGTACTTACCTATGTTGGGTATGCATTTTTTGCCTTTTTCCCAGTCAGATGTAAATTTTGACGTTTCTTTCCTTTCATACTAATTATACCACTTATTTTACTTGTAGAAATATTAAACCTATGCTAATAACATCTTTTTTAATAACTGAGTAAGAGTATTTCTCTTCAGATAGTGCAAAAATCTGATTCATTGTTTATTTTTCAGCACCTTTTAAAGAAAAGAATATTTTTAATTTTGCCGACGATAATTAAACCTTACTCTAATTTCATACCAGTCAAGTTTATATTTTAAAATTAATATTTAAAATTCAGGAAGAAAATCAAAATTGTTACAAAATTGTGCGAATGCCCTCTGTAGATATCATGAACTTTTGTTTAAAAATAATTAAATGAAACTAATTAAAAAATCACTAGTATACTTTCTAAATTTTATTCAGTTTTTTCTTTGTAACAAAGTACATTATAACATAAATTTTCAGCTTTCATATTTTCTACATAAAAAAATCAAGCTTGATGCATACTTTATTTTGGGTCAGGAATGAAATCAAGGCCCTGGAAATACAAAGGAAAAAACATCAATACAACAAAATCATTCTGGGAATAAAATTTAAGATTGAAAATTTCTCCATCATACTATCTTAAGGTACATTGACACTACAGCCATTGTAAAATTCTAGTGAAACAAATAAAAGTGGATATAACTCTGAAAAAGATTCACAGCATAAAAAAATATTAACTTTCTGACTGGAATAGAAGAATATAAAGAAGCTTGGAAGAAAACAAAAGTCTTGTTCATGCAATGCAATATTTAATTTTTTTAAACGTCTTTCTGCAGGTGAAGACAATATTTAATTGCACACTGTTTTAAAATATAATGCATTATTTTGAACTTTTATGCTATGAGAAAGCATAAAAGTTCTTTTCTAGACATAGTTAAGCGAGAATTTTCCAAACATTTGCAAATAAGACACTCAGCATGACTAATAACATTGTCTTTGCTATGTAAGACCTACTCTATATTAAATAATTAAGAGCAACAGAAAAGGAAAACAGCATATAAAATGACAATTTATTCTGATATAATACATCAAATTTACTTTGTTATAAGAGAGCTAAAATTTACCAAATCAAATTTTTATTTAGGAAAGGAAGCTATGTAACCAAATTTGACAAAGTTATATTCATTTCATTTTCTGTCCTATAGTTGAAATTTTCTCATGAATGTTAAAAAACTTAACATGAGTAGTTATGCACATGGTTCCACTACTGTGGAACAATATTACAGACGAAACATTTAAATTATAAATATTTGATACTACGAAATTTTGGTACTTTCTGATTATCTGCACCCCACCTAAAAAGCATTCATGAAGCAACGTGCTATGTTGCTAAACAGGTAACCCACAACATCGCCAAAATGCATTTATAAGGCAAACCAGGTAGCGTTTCCAGTGCATGTGTGCATTAGTGTCCGTTATAGCCAAACTGAGTGCCTTTTTTTCCCTTGAAAAGAACTGTGAAATCACATAATTATACTTTGGCCATAATCAAATTTTATGGATCAACATTTGTCCAACTGAGTTTTTTTAAGTGATAACAGATTGCTGTGTATATGGGGAGAACAACATTAGAAAGAAATTACATTAGGATTTCTTCAGAAAGTTAGGCGTTTTGTTACAAATGTTTCTTCCTTTTTAAATTTTACTGAGTCATTGCTCTATTATGAAATTCTTAGAGCACCACCAAAACTGTTGCATTTTGAGCACTAGTTTAGCAAAAAAATTAGTCATCAATCTGTTGCCAATTTTTTGGAGGAGGGTGCAGATAATTATAAAGTACAAACATTTTTATAGAAAATGCTGTAAAACTCTCTAAAATATTTTGACTTAATTCTTTCTTAATTCAACAAAAACTATAATTTAGAATGATCCAATTATAATTATTTTGGGTTGTGCTATATGAATACTTATCATATATGCATCTAACTTGCACAAACATATATTAAGTACATCTAGAAAGTTCCAAATTCTGCCACAGCGTAAAAATATATTTACGGGTGCCCCTCGATAAAAACTGGTGATTTTTGCCAGTACATGGACACTGAGTTTGTGCAATTCTTTGACTTGTTATTTTGGCTTTGTGTAGTGGTGATTTTTCCGCCAAAAATCAGCGCTGTACAAAGCCAAAATAACAAGTCAAAGAATTGCACAAACTCAGTATTCATGTACATGACCTATTTTCACTTAAAAGCATCACAGAATTGCACAAACTTGGCATTGTATACTTCCTTTGTCTATGTATACATCGATCAAAGTCAAACATATCTTCCGTAGTGCAGGTATCCTTCAATGTATCCATATGCATTTCTTTCATACAAATGGGACCTTCATAATGGCTACTAAGTAAACCTTCATTTACACACCAGTTAATTAATGTTTTTTTCCCTTTCGTTCCAAATCATACAGAAACTTCAAATTAATCTTACCGCATTCAGCTATTTTATCATGTAAACCACAAAATAACCAACCAACATCCAACACACAAACAAGCCCTTCAAATCTTTTCCCATCCTTCAAATTCACAGCAATGACGCAACCAATTACATCATAATAGGGTTTTCAGAACATTCAACTACTTAGGTTACCATAAATTAAAGAACAACTTGGCAACAAATGAAACAACAGCTTAGCGATAATCCAAGGGACACCCTTAAATATACTATGTCACACCCTTAAATGACTAAAACACAGAGGAAAGGCAAGTCATCATCTGAAAGGTTCTCGTGGAATGTGGAGAAGAGAAAAGAAAGAAATATTTAAAAAAATTTTAATGATATCAATATGTCTATGCCTCCAAAGTAAAAAATTCTTAAAACTAACATTTGTTATCAATTTTTTGTGTGTATACTGTGTGTTGTCACCAATAAAGTCTACATGGCAAAATTAGCACTGGCGAAATGGAAAAGTACCATTCTTTTTTACCTTTTCGTGACGGCACATCTTTGTTCAAGACGCTTGTGCGGGACGGAAGGGAATCAAAGGCAGTCATTGTACAGGATGGAGGTTTTGCATCGCTAAGCCGCTAAGCCCAATTTTATAAAAAAAAAAATCGGAAAAAAATGTTTCACTTCTAGCCTCATAATTTTTGGTATCAGATTAGATTATTACTAGTAAAATACCAAAATCAGGCAGAATATATCAAACTCAAGGTAGGAATCTAAAACTGTGTTCATTTCAAAAGTAATGGACATAGAATGCCATCTAGTGGCCGCCAGAAAAACATTCCAGCTTAAAATGCATGTACGCATCACCCGTCCTCTGAATGCAGTCTCTAGCGATGCGTGGATGGGACGCCCAGCTGTAAGAGACGTTCTTAGGGAATGCGTATATGGGACGCCCATCATGAAAAATTTAATGAAGGTTTGGAGCATGGTGAAAAATACCTATAATTTTTACAACAGAGTTGCATCACAAAGCAAGAGATTATGATTCTATACAATTTGCAAAAAAATTTACTCTGAAGCACTCTTAAAGTTTTAAAAGAAACCTCTATCAGAAAAATGTAATAAAAATGAAATATGCTTTATTAATGTTCTTTATATGATTTATCTTTTCTGTTCTGAAATCCGGAAAACCCTAAAATCCTATTATTAAAAATTCGATAAATGGAGGTGTTACACACATTTTTTATTGAGTGTATTTTCATAATTCAAAACTGAAAGGAAAACTACACATGATCAGTTTTATTTATATTTAGATAAAATCAATGTCCTAGTTTATTTGAAAATGATAATCCTTTTCACGTTTCTTAGGAAAAACTACTTTGTAAGGAATATATACAGAAAAAGAAAGTTTCAAAAATTACCACTACATAAATAATATAACAGAGGTAAATAACATACCTGCATTTTCAGATAATAGCCACTTAATCGCTCATCTCTCGTTGTTAATCTTCTGTCTTCTGGCTCTTGGGATGTACGCCTATGGGGCTGCATAATTAAAAATTCACTTTCAATTATATTTCCTTCTGTGAGTTTTATAACAAAAAATCTAATAAAAAACTTGCATGTACACAAAAAAACTCTGTTCACAATTTCATATTCATAAAACTGTGTAAAATACGAAGTGCGTACATAAATAAGTAAGATAAAAAATAGATACTTCCTTATTATAGTGGCTCCTAAGATTAAATCACAAATCAACTGAGATATCTCGCCAAGTGTTCTTATACTTCGCTATATGTTACATCTCAGTTGATAAACGATTAAATTTGGGGGCAGGTATACTAAGGAAGTACCAAAAAATTTATATATGTCACATACATAAATGTATATACACATATGTGTGTGTGTATGTAAAAAATCAAAATTCAAACTACAGTCAAAAGTCTTTAATCTGGACGTCCAGAATCCGGAATGATATATAATCCGGACCTCAAAGCTACAAACTTTCTGTGCATGCGCATAATACCTTTACACATGCGCATATTATTTGTCCTGAAAGAAAATATGTTCACTCTGGCTCAACAACTGCCATTATCTCAATGCATCAGTGCTGTTTTAAGTTCACAAGATCAATTTGCAATTCATCACATTTAGTCAAATTATTATTATGGCAAATTTGTAATACACTATATTATGCAAAAATTCATCATATCTATAAGGAACTGAACAGTATTCAAACTGTTAATTATTAATTGTTATCAAATTTTTAATTAACAATTAAGGAATAATAAAACTTAATGTTTATTATTATTGTTAAATGTTTTATCATTCCTTAACCAATTGCTAATTAAGAATGATTGTATCTGTTCCTAGGATTGTGATTTAAATAACCCACTTAATGTTAAATGCTCCTGGGCGCATGGTTACTAAGATAGGTAGCAATATCTGATCCTCTTTCTTGCATACTTGTGTTTAATAATACTGTAACCCAATATCACATGTCTACTAGCTTGACAGCTCATCGTTTTATTCACTGTCAGGTAAATCTGAATTTATTCTTACAGACAGTCAAGACTATTTATAGTCCATTGGACATTTTAGAAGTTACATCGGGTATTTTGTGACCTAACATACTCGTACATCTCAACAATTCATAAAGTGTTATCTTCCGTTAAGGTAGAGCCTCGTACATAGGCTTGGTGTCACATCAATTTACAATCTAAAGTATCTCAGAATATAGAGAACAGATAGTGGCTATAAGACATTTTAAATAACACTAAACATTAAAAACTACTTTTTAAAATGAACAAGCATAAATTATCTTTAGGGTTTACTTTGTTGAGAAACACTTAAGGCAAAAAATTAAAAAGTGAGATTTGGTGATCTACCAAGAGGCCAGGAGATATAACGAAAACCTGAGAGAGATGGGGACTATGGCTTTGGAATTGTCCATCACAATGACGGACCTCCTCTAAAACTATGTACTTAAAGAGAAACATATTGAAATGTTTATACAAACTAAAAAGGGAGATAAAAAAAAGTAATTGAGGAAGACAAAATGTTACTTCAGAACAATTTTAAGACCTGAAACCCAAAATTCGATCAACATATCTCGTGGGCACTTTTGCACATTTAATCAAGCTAACAAGGCAGATTTAAGTTTCCGTTTCGTATTTCAAATAAGATTTTATTCAATTCTGAGAGCAACTTTATGAAAAGTGAGATCCATCAAATAAAGAATTCTTAGCTTCTTTCTTTATTATTGGTGTACGAAACTGAAAGGGTCTGCCCATTTCAGACATATGTTTCCGTTTCGTATTTCAAATAAGATTTTATTCAATTCTGAGAGTAACTTATGAAAAGTGGGATCCATCAAATAAAGAATTCTTAGCTTCTTTTTTTACTACTGGTGTAGGAAACTGAAAGGGTCTGCCCATTTCAGACATATTTATTATTATTATTTTATTTTATTTTTATTTTAAAAGGATGAGGTATTATGGTCACACTGTTTGCTTATTGGATAAAATACGTAATATACTTACAACGCCACGATATAAGACATGAACCACCCATGGAGTGAAACATGGGAGAATTAAAAATGTACTAAATAAACCAAGTGTAGGCAATATTTCATACCACATGGTGAATAAATATTTGTCAACAAAACATGAAAGTCAAAAACGGTAATAAGGTCGACACAGAATTTCGCAGCTACGGTTATTTTAGTTAAACAAATCAAAACATTCAATATTTGATACGTTCTTACAAAAGACAGGAAAATAAACTACGTAATTATATTATGTTAAATATTATTTACATATATGGCAGAAGTGCACATCAATATGTCTATTTTTCTCCGCTTTTTCTTTCATGCAAAAGCTATACATTTTTATTTTACGCTTTAACAAAAACAAATATTTATAGTTTTATATATACATAAAACTGTAAACATTTATAGTTAAACTGTAAACATTTATAGTTCTAGAAAAACATGAATATTTATAGTTTTCTTTTTTTTTCCGAGAGAGAGCCAGGTCTAGCCACTTAAAAGACATTTGAAGTGAATTGAAGTAAACTTAGCAACCGGTTTACATTTATGTCGTTCTTACGTGAGCAATAAAGCAGACGTACTTACGGTACTGTTTATATTTTGAAGGCGCTCTGAGCCAAATGGAGCCGTTGAAAGAATATATCGGCCAAATAGAATATGATGTTAATTTTTATGCTGTCATATCGGCTATTTTAGCCCTTTTAGTGACAATTGGTAACGATTAGTTTTGTACTCTTGGATAAGCAGAATTTTAAATTTAGTCCATATTTTAGTAAACTGCTTAATAGGTGATGGGGCTCTGATTGTATTAAGTTTACTGTTATACACAAATTTATTTGTTCATCTTTTATTATAAATTGTGCATAATTAGAGCATTATAAATGTAAGTACTTGAATAGTAAATGGATTAGAGAAGTATCTTTATTAAAAAACTATTAATATCGGTATGAATTGGGGCCTTTTCAAAACAAGGGAAAAAAAAATACGAATAGTGGCACAGCTTTAGTATTAGTCCTTTTTGGCAAAAAATTTGTTTGGCGACATTTTGGAGCAATAAACGTAAAATTATGATAACCTTGGTAACCCTAAATACTGAGCTCAAAAACATGCCGCCATTTCTGTCCACGTAACTTTATTGAATTTGGTAGGTATCAGAGCTTTGATGGCAGGAGGGATAAATTGTGTGTTTTTCTTAAAGTTACTTTTGTGTTAGGAAAGCACAACATTTAAAATATTTTTAAAAAGCCAAATTTTTTATAGTTAAAAACTGATGCTTTTAATATTACATCACGATTCTTGACCTTTTTTCATATGTCAACTCTGGCATATTATTATAAACTCCATTCCCCAAGGAAAAAAAAAAACACATTTTAAGTAGCATAAGGTAAACTCTTTGTGTTTCCTTTGCTAAGGAGATCAAAATTACCATGGTCTAAAAATATTTTTTTGCCTCATATTGGAACTATAGGGATGTGTAATTGCATGAATTCATAGGTTCAAATCAGGACCAAAATTATTGCTTTTATAACATTTTTATAATTTGACTGACTATAAAAAATATAATGTTGCTTAGATTATGGAATATATTGCTTATAATTTACAGTTCTCAAATTTTGCAAATCTTTACAACCTAATAGTAGCTGTGTATGAATAACCTTCACTGAGTATTATTTTTTATTAATAGTATGTTGACATAACAGTCAACTTTTTATTTTAAATTTTATGCCAAATTTCTACATCTTAAACATTTTATCTAACAGAAATCTGAATTTTTTGTAATAAAAACTCTAATAATAAAAGTAAGAGTACAATTTATATATAAAAAAATTTGACTACATGGCAAGCACTTAGGTACTGATTTCAATGTCTTTAAAATTATATTATAAAGTTTAGATATATTCTTATTAAGTTAAGATATACTTTTATTCTCTTATAATGTTTAGATGTACAGTTAGTATTTAATCTAGATCGGATTTTGTTGACAATCCGCCATTTTTTTCCGATCTTGAAAGCCGGTATACATTGGCGACCAAAGTTTGTCGCCAAATCAAAAAATCGCCAGAAGGACCAATACTAAAGCTGTTCCCGAATAGTTTTAATCTTTAATTAGCAAACGGATACTTTTACATTAGAAATTTTGGTAATCTTCAACACTTTTTTCCAGATTATTTTGAACTATTTGATATCAAAAAATAACTTATTTTATGCTCATGAGACTGATTTTCCTCAGAAATTTTTATATTGGCTTAAGTAAAATTTGAAATACAATTTCCATTCAGCTACTTAGAGTACTTATTTTATATCAATAAACTGTACATTATTATATGCTTCTCTGAAAATCATTCCTTGAAAATCAATTAAAGTGTTCACTTATTTATTAATTTGAGCATAACCTGGTGTTACATTTCTTGTACATCAGTGATACAATTGTAAATATACCTGAAGGGGAGGGGTGGGAGCTTTTGTTAAAAAATGCTGGGGCACTTTTTAATGATTGTTATAAATAATGATTTGGATGAATTTTAGATGATCATGGTAGTATGCTGATAATTGCTATTATAGTCACCCATAAAGTAAAAATAGTTGGTACAGTCAAAAGTCTTTAATCCAGACTCGTCGGGACTTCGGCGATTCTGGATTATCGGTTTTTCCGGATTATAGATCATCAGTTTAAATCTGGTAAGAAAGCTGCAGAAAATTAAAAATTAAAAATATAAAACCGTAATTATGAAATAAGAGCAATTATGATCTAAAAAATATCAAAATTTACAAAAAAAAAAAAAAAAAAAAGCTTAATTTATTTGTTTACTTTATTAAACATTCTTTCAACGCACACATGCATAAAGCATACTTAGCATAGTCGAATTAGCAAATTGCAACCAGAAAACTATTTGTGTGTACTGTGATATTTAATAATGACGAGGAATTTGGTTTTAAATCATATCAAAGACAGAATACTCGAGATGAAATACTACATTTAGAAGGAATTATAACATCTGCCCTGAAGATAAGGATAGTGCTGACAGATCAACTTCCAGTTCATAGCTCGCCGTGACGTCCCCCTTCCCCGCAGAGCAGCGTGAAATTGATAAACAGATTTCGGAACGATTAGCGAAACAAAGGATATGCCTTTATCCATTTTTTGCAGCAATTCCACTTTTTGTTTGATGGACATCGAAACGTGCTTTCACTTCGTAGATCCTCCAGAATCGGAAATTCTTTTTGACATAATCGAAAGTTCAAGCTTACATTTATAAAATTGCTCTAACAGTCTGCAAAAAATAATAAGCCAGATCCAATTAGAAGATTAAGGAGCAACGCAATCTGCAACATTAACTGAAATAGATAATTTTAGCTTAGCTTATACTGTCTGTTATACATTAAACGTGCGTGCATAAACGTATTTTGCACATGCGATGCGTTTACGCATGCGCAGAAAGTTTGTAGCTTTGAGGTCCGGATTATGGACATCCGAATTAAAGACTTCACTATATTCTGTTATCGGGACCAGATTCAGAAATGTATATACTTGTGTATATAAGTGTGTGACATATGTGTGTATACATATGTAGCTCTCTCTCTCTATATATACATGAACACATACATCCATTCATTTATTTCTGAATTCAGTCTTGATAACAGATGAGTACCAAGTAGTTTACCCCCATGGAAAAAAGACTAAAAAGTAGACGTTGTGCGTGTCCATGTTCAAACATTAAAAAAGACTATAGGGATGTGTAATTGCATGAATTCATAGGTGCATGAAAAAAGGGGGAAAAAACCTAGAGTAATATCATGATTCGTTCAGGAAAGTCACCAGAAATGTTTTTGTGGAAATTCTGTTGATTAGAATAAAATTGTGAGTAAAATTCAGTTATTGTTTTAGCAAAATTGAAGAAGACAAGATAATTTGGCTCTACTCTTATATGCGCCCTAAGATCACTAAATGTGGTGATATGTGTTATGTGCTGGTTTTTGGCACGATTGCATGTTGTATGACAACTCTTTTGACATTGAAAACTCTTTTGCTCGTGCGTGTTTTGAAATGGCCTAAATGGGACTTTGGTAATAATGTGAGCAGTACTCAGTTCCGATTACGCATTATTTTGTGTGAGGGAAATGAGAGATCATGGGGTATGTCATGTGATATTAATGGACAAATAAATTACAGTTCTTTAATCGGAAAAGGGGGATAAATTTGGAAAAACATCTGGCAGTACTATTAGCTGCAGTATTAAGCTTCATTGTGTGTTGTGCGAGTGTTGATTAATTTTTGGATCGCATGGCGCTATCTAAAGTGAATTCAAAATTTTTAATGCATTTATCTGATAATTCAAAAGAATTGGTTGAATGGTGCATACGAGTGTAGGATTAATTGCGGATAAGTATGAATGTCCAACATGTGGGAATGAAATGAGATTGTGTGAAAGGAAGGATATTACAGATAAGTTTGAATGGCGGTGCAAGAAATCTGGGAAAATGGACATTTTGTGAAACGGAGTGTAATGAAGGGTACGTGGTTTGCTGAAAGTCGTTTGAGTATGGGTGAGATTTTATTGATTTCTTATTATTGGGTGAATAGATTGCCAGTTGACTATTGGATTTCGGATTTAGAAATTAGCAGTAGGACTGCAGCTGATTGGAATTCTTTTTGTAGGGAAGTGTACGTGGAATTTTGCGAAATGATATGGGTATGCTTGGTGGTATATTGTTTATTGTGGAAATTGATGAGAGTAAGTTTGGGAGCGGAAGTATCAGAGCGGTGGAGAGGGTGGAAAATGGGTGTTTGGTGAGATGAAAGGGAGTATAAATGTTTTTTTTTAAGGTTGTGATAGATAGGTAAAGATTGTTTGTTAAGTTTTATAAAAGAATATATTCTACCGGGTTACTATAATTATTTCAGATTGCTGGAAATCTTATGAATGTTTGGAAGATGAAGGTTTTAAACATCTTGCTGTGAACCACAAATATTATTTTAAAGATCCGGAAAAGACACATACAATACAATAGAGGGCACGTGGAGTGCTATAAAAGCGCCATTCCGAGGCATAGTGATAAAGAGAATTTTGCTTTTTATTTAGCGGAGGAAGTGTGGAGGAAAAATTCGCAGAAAAATCATTCAATAATTTTATTGAATCCGAATAAAAGTGTATCCACCATGTAAGCAAGATTCTGAAGAAGATTAGGTAAGTTAGTATTTTTAATTATTTGAGGATATTATTTTTATGCATTGTTCTAAATGTAAGGTGAAGTAAAGTAATTTGGTATTATTGGGAAAATTGTGTTATTAGCAATGATTTAGTTTAAAGTAATTAGGATTGTAAGCTAATTTTTATTAATTTAATATATGTGCTTATTTATATTTTAAGTAGTGTTTTTGAATTTAATTATATTTTAATTAAATGATAGTTATTTTTGTGAATTTTATGTTTGTAGGAATTTGGTATACGGTTTTAGTTGAAGTAAACGTGCATGGAATAATTTAAATATTTGACACTAAGTATTTGTAATGTTGCGGTATGAATTCGTTGGTGACGTTTATAATATAATAGATAATTTAGAGGTAAAAGTTTTTGGATATTTTATTTATTTTATACGTGGAAATGTTCATATTTGGAAAGGGTATATACTTTTTCGTTATTAGGTAATTTCATATATGTTCTTTTTAACGGGTTTAAAAGATTCAGAAAATTGTCATGCATTTTCGTGAAATTTTTCTAATTTATGAGAAAAAAGCAGTGTACATGGATATGGTGAAGAGTGTGCGCAATGCCATTTTTGTGCAATTCTGGGATTTTTTTTTTTAAGTAAAAATAAGTCGACGTGTACATGGTTTAGTGATATTTTAATTAAATGATAGTTATTTTGTGAATTTTATGTTTGTAGGAATTTGGTATACGTTTTAGTTGAAGTAAACGTGCATGGAAATAATTTAAATATTTGACACTAATTATTTGTAATGCTTGCGATATGAATTCATTGGAGACGTTTATAATATAATAGATGATTTAGAGGTAAAAGTTTTTGGATATTTTATTTATTTTATATGTGGAAATGTTCATATTTGGAAAGGGTATATACTTTTCGCGATCAGGTAATTTCATATATGTTCTTTTTACCGGGTTTTAAAGATTCAGAAAATTGTCATGTATTTTCGTGAAATTTTTCTAATTTATGAGAAAAAAGCAGTGTACATGGATATAGTGAAGAGTGTGCTCAATGCCATTTTTGGTGTAATTCTGGGATGCTTTTTTAAGTAAAAATAAGTCGACGTGGCATGGTTTATGTGTATGTGTTATTTTGAAAAACGCGTAGGAGGAGTTGGCATTGTGCACTTTTTTCCCAATTTTGCAGTGAATATTTGTCATGATTAAGCAGTTTTGTTAGATAAATTTCTAACATAAGTGTAATTCGGCTAGTAGATTGTTGGAAGAAGTGTTCAGTAGATAAAAAGAAAAGAAACATGTCTTTACTTTGTGAAGACAAAATGGCGGCGGGGAAAAAAAAAATCGAGGGTTGCTGTAGGAGAGTTGGTCGCAAAATTTTTGCCAAAAAATCACCAAGTTACCATAATCTAAAGATCAACCATTATTTTTAGTAGCTGTACATGAGAGAAGTAAGGAAACAGTGATGCAGTGGATTGAGCCTTGTACAATTATTTTTACGGATAGCTGGAAATCTTACAAGGATTTAGAAAAAGAAGGTTTTGAACATTTATTTTTGAACCATAGTATGAATTTTCTGGATAGTGTGTCTGGCTGTCATATAAATACGATAACATTATGTGGCGGCATGAAATTGGTATTGCTGCTGTTCAAAAAAGCATTCATTCATGGTAAGGGCATTTTATTTTATTCTTGTTCTTAATTTGTAGAATGTTATGTTCATTGTTTTTTTAATATGAATTTCTGTCATTATTGTTTTTTTTTTTTAAATTTGTTTTAGTTATTTTATTTTGATGATTAGTGCGTAATGCCTAGATTGTGCAATTCGTAGATGTTTTTTAAAGTTGAAACAGAACGCTGTGTACATGGTATTCTTTGAAATTTATTGTTGTTATATTAATTTATTAAAGCAAGGTGTGCATAGTTCGTAGATTCTTTCGCTGCCTAGATTGTACAATTTGTAGATGTTTTTTCAAGTTAAAACATATCGCTGTGTACATAATATTTTTGGTTAGAAACTTTACGTTTTTGTTATCTAAATTTTTTGTTTCAGATTTTTAGCTTAAATTATGTGTTTAAAACGCGGTTTTTGGAGACATTTTAGGCTTAAAGTTTGAAATGTAGACAAAAAATTTAGATAGTAACATGGCACCTTGGATTGGTCAGAAATTTGGCAACTTGAGGGTGCATATGAGAGTAGTTCCGATAATTTTAATTTTCAAAAGCACCTTAACTCCTATTTTTACTTTGATTATTTTATCTTTCTTTCTCAAAAATAGTAATAAATCTCTTAATTTTATCAGTACAAAATTAATTCAGAATTTGCCTAAGATCCTGCCTATGTCCCTGTGGAATTCTGAAGAAAGTAATCTTTAGTTAATTTCATAAACTGCTAGTATTCAACCCATTTCTTTCCGCCCCTTCCAAAATGTCTTTGTTTGCTCTTATATAATCATAAAGAAACTTTTCCTTTCATTCTAGGGGTTTTATCCAAAGAAGTAATTTTTTTACAGTAGTTCTGTTATTGTAAATCCTTTACAATTGTTCAAATCTGTGTTGCAATAAACAAAATATCAGTGTTAAAAGTGTAAAAAAAATTGTAATTTGTAGTAATTTTCCAATGTGAATATTTTTGAATTCCACTGTTTGTAATGTTTGACTATTGATATATTCTGTATAATTTTCAGTAATTTTCTTTGCCTTTCGGAAAAAACGTGTGTATCGGAGAAGTGTTCTAATTACTGGTCTTTCTGAATCTGGAAAAACTTTGCTCTTTTCTAGAGTAAGTATGGCTTCTTATTTAAATATATTAAATCTGTAAATTAATGATATTATTTTTATTTTTAAATATTTAAGTGAGTTGCTATAAAATTTTTCTGTTCCGATAGATCATTCTATTTTTTGGTTATTAAAGATAATGCTTTTTTAGATTAGTCAAGATGTTCTCTCTTTTTTTTTTTATTCAGTTCTAAAAAAATTTAAAACTAGCACAAACTTCGAATTTTGGAATTGTGCACTCCCTTGACTTTATCCATGTACACATCAACCTATTTTCTCTTAAAAAAAATCAGAGAATTGCACAAACTTGGCAATCTCACTCTCATGACTCTGCCCATGTACACATCAATCTATTTTCACCAAGTCAAAAGGAGCACCCAATTTTACAGTAGAGCCAAACAAAAAATACATAATCGCAATAAACTACATTTTAAATCAAACAATATAATATAAAAAAGAAATTCATCTTATGCATCTAAGCACTACACCAAGCAAATATCCACTTACCCTATGTAGAAATTTCTGAGTCCATCAGTCTGTGGCATACAAAATTCTTTAACAGTATCCTAAAACTTCCTAAAATTATCTGAACTAGAATCCATATATCTGCGTCGCCACATTAAGTTAAAAAAATTAAGAGACAAAAATATCCTGCGTGGTGCCAGTATCCTTCGACATTCAACCATACGTATTTCCTTCCTATAAACAGGACACTTAATAATGGCTACTAAGTAAACCTTCATTTACACACCAGTCAATTTATGCACGTTTCCCCCTTCATTCCAAATCACACAGAAATTCAAATTAATCTTATAACATCAGCCATACTACTGTTTAAAACACAAAACAAGCAGTGTACTTCCTAACCAACACAATCACAAACCCTTACAAATCTTTTTCCCATCATTCAAAATTTATGGCAATCACGCATCATAATAGGATTTCTGTAACATTCAACTACTCGGGTTAACATAAATGAAACAACGATAAATGACACAATTTCACGATAATACAAGGGGCACCCTTCAATCTACTCTAACCAGAAGATGTTATATTGTACATCATCTTTTATCATACTAGTATTTACTTATATATTTTTGCAAAGTATTCTAGGAAAAAAGACTGAATAAGAAATATTTATAGAAAAATTATACGCATTTATTGAATCTGCCACTGACCAATTTGTTTCCTCCAAATTTTTAGTGCAGTTAAAAGTTTTAATCCGGACCTCAAAGCTACAATTACGCATAATGCGTTTTTGCATGCGCATAATACCTTTACGCAAGCGCATGTTTAATGTATAACGGACGGTATAAGCTAAGCTAAAATTATCTAATTATCTATTTCAGTTAATGTTGCAGATTGCGTTGTTCCTTAATCTTCAAATTGGATCTGCCTTTTTTTTCAGACTGTTAGCATTTTTATAAAAGTGCTTGAACCTTCGATTATGTCAAATTTCCGATTCTGGAGTTGCAAAAGATCACAAAGGAAAGCATGTTTCCATGTCATCAAACAAAAAGTGGATTGCTGCAAAAAATGGTAGGCAATTCTTTGTTTCTCTAACCATTCCGAAATCTGTTTATCAATCATGCTGCTCTGAGGGGGGGGGAAACGTCACCGTTCCATGAACTGGAAGTTGATCTGTAGCACTACCTCATCTTCAGGGCAATGTTTTATTTTATTCGGCATATATTCCTTACTAATGTGTGTTTCATCTGAGTACTCTGATATGATTTAAATCAATTCTCGTCATTATAATTCAAGAATACGCATAAAATATTTTTGGTTGCAATTTCTAATTTCGACATGTGTGATGTATGCTTTACTATGTGCGCATTGAAAGAAATGTTTAATAAAGTAACAAATAAATATTAAGGTTTTTTTTTTTTTTTTTTTTTTTTTTTGTAAATTTTGATATCCTTTAGATCACAATTGCTCTTTATTTCATAAATTACAGTTTCATATTTTTAATTTTATAATTTCTGCATGCTGTCTTACCAAATTTAAATTGATGATCTATGATCCGGAAAAACCGATATTCCGGAATTGCCGAAGTCCCTACGAGTCCGGATTAAAAACTTACTGTATTATTTTGTAGTTTGTTCTCCCTTTTCATCTTAAGAATTAGGAGTAAGATATTAACATTATAAAATTATATCTACTAACATCCACATTATATTTTAAATTTGCTACAGTAATAAAGGAGCATGTCTTGAATAAAATTTGCTCTTTCTTATACAAGCTGATGTTTAAGATTACTACATGAAGGTGGCATGCAACAAATGTCAAATTTCCATTAAAGGTACTACATGCTAGGATGTGCAAATGATCAGCATTCTAGTGAATATGCACAAAGCAGGTATGAGTGTACAGTGTGTATAAATGGAAAGACTGTAAAGCAGATTTCTCAGTTAGAAATCACATTTGAAAGTTGGTTATTTGTGTAAACGCTGTGTTATGCCTCATGTACGAAGGAGAAACTCTTGCCAGTACATGTTAGAATTTTATCGTGGCAGATTGTAGCCTATTAGGACTTTTTTTTTTTTTTTCTTTCTGCAGCATTGCTGCTTGTGCTGACGGAGATTCCATGGTTAACTAATATGAAATTGATGGGTTTAGAAGGACCATATTGAATATCATGCAGGATTTCAGAAGCCGCAGGCCTTTAATGCTCGAGAGAGCAGACATATTTTCCTCTTGGTCTTCCGGGTTTGTACAGCCATATCATGTACCTGAGTCAGAAACTGGGCTTGCATGCATGACAGCAAATGTCTGCAGCACCACAGATTGTCAGCACAATAATCATTATTTTGGCTTCCTTTGATCCTGCAGCAGAAACAAGTGCATCTACACTGATATGACTAATAATGACGTTGGAGGAAGAAATGGCACCACGTTGTCTTTTCAGATGACTCCCGATTCTACATATAATATCGAGACTGATGTTTCCATATGTGGAAGTACTAAGGAGAATGAAAATTGTGAGTTTACATTTGTAATTGTCATACAAACCCAGCACCTGACATGATGAGAGTGCCATTGGGTACATACCCATTCACCACTTGTTCACACAGCTCTTACTACATTTCTGATGTGTTAAGGCTGTATCCTGTCTTTGGGGTCTGTGTGATGCCATCTTTCAACAAGATAATGCACAACCACATGTTGCCCATGCTGTCCAGACCTTTCTCAGTACAGAGGGTGTTTATCTATTGTCTTGGCCAGCACATCTCTAGATCTCTCATCCATTGAGAACGTCTGTCTGGTCAGGGGTTGCCAAGAGACTAGCACATCAGCTGCTACTATTGATAAACTCTGACATAAAACTGACACTATATGAAATGTTGTTGCCTTGTCCATGACTTTAATGGAAGAATAGTTGCCAGAGCCTCAAGAAGGTTGGACTTCTATTTCCACCCCAATTTTGATGAAGAGCACCAAGGGGTTGGTCCAAGGGTCTCTTACCCCTCTTCCCTACCGCCAATCCAGACAAGAGAACCCCATGCTGCTAAGGCACCATACATTTACAAACATCCATTTCTTCTCTGGTATTCGAACCTGGGACCTCTGGTTCTGCAGTAGGCTCCCCTAATCACTATACCATATGGGTGGCACAAACATGAAATAAAGGGCCCATATCCATCATCTAAGCTCAGTTCGACTAGATTTCAAGCTGATTTGTAGCAGAGGTGAAAGCTCTGTATATTGAGTTTTGCATGTTGTGTACCCTAACCACCTCCGTCGTTGCACCGCTTCGTGTAGTATCAGCATGGTGGAGCTCCTCTAGATTACATGATTGATGTCTGCCGACACTTCAACATAACCTTTGGATAGGTGTTGGTGGACCAGTTCATTGGCTGCCAGATTACTGGACCTGTCATGCATGGATTTCTTCTTCTGGAGTCACATGAAAAGTTTGGTGTGCGAGACACTTGTTCCTTCAGATGCATACCTTGCCACTTGAATGTCTGTAGCTGCCAGGAGGATACATAACATGCCAGGAATCTTCCAGAGCATAAGGAATCTCATACAGTGCTGCTTTCAGGCCTATCAGACGACTTCTGGTTGTAATTGCAAATACCTACTGTTATAAAACCGTTCAATGAAATGTGTCCTATTCCATTAATGTGTTGCTGTTTCTGTTCTTTTTCTCTGCTCTTTTGCATCATAGCTCGCAACTGCGGGATTTACGACCCTGCATTCCTATGTGATTCCGAGTCATCTCTTTACCCCTTGCATACCTTGCCTTGCAATTTGTCAGTCTGGTAGGGAATCACCCTATATATAAATGTAATATATATCGTATATCGTAAGTTGCACTTTTAAGACATAAAAAATGCAAGTTGAATTTCATCAGTTGGCATAGTAGAATGAAAGATATGTAACTGTCCCATTTTCATTTTGACTCGCTGTACATTTCATGTTTATTCATATTGTTACAAAATTGGTCCACTCACTTTGAGGCTCTTGGCTTGTTCTGGTGAGCCCAAGAACATGGAAAATTTGCCGAGAGAGACCTCCAAGACAGTTGAATTGATCTGCAAGTACGAAAGTCCAAACATTAGGATGCAAGAACATACCAATCCTTGAAATAGTCACTGTAGAACATACACAAAGAGGTAGAAGGCTATCTATAATTGTTAGAAACCAGTCACTAGAAGGCAGCACTCATAACAGAACACTGTACCTCCATGGCCTGTGATTCATCTTTTTACACATAATGTTGATCTAGAACACTGATTTGGAAGATTTCGCAGAACACTTTTGAGGATACTGCATTTTTTGTGGTGTATATCCTGGAAACATATAGCTTCCCTGAAGCCTTTTATCTAAGCCGGCCTGCATAGTTGTGTTGTGTTATCTCTTAGCAGAGTTGACATAGTAAGTTATGGATGCATTTCTAGGTATAATTTTTTATTAAATTAGAAATAAACTTTATTTCTAATTTAAAAAATTCTAATAAGAAATAAAGTATATTTCTAATTAAGTTCTTGGCTTAAAGAGTGAAGCTATAAATATCACTAGCAAAGCTTAGCTTTCCTGTTTTCTACAATAAAATATCCAATATAAAAAAAATCTATATATTTTTCCCTTCACTTGAGAGCACCCAATCTTGGGACTCCTGGACACTGCCTCAGTTGCCTCGGTGGTAATTACAATCTTGGAAGGAAATATATCTCTAGGCAAGGAAATATATCTCTAGGAAAACTAAAAAATTTACAATGGACAGTAGACTTAGAAAAGTCAAATTGCTTGAAAAAAGTTGAATTCCATTACTTTCAGTTTATTGTTTAAAAATTTATTTGTTTATAGCTAGAACAGAAAAAGTATAAAGTTTGATAGTACTTTCATTTATTTCCATTGTACATCACTACCTTATTATTTCCAAATTTTATTTGATGCAAAATTTATCAATTTTCTAAGCAGTTTGTATAGTATAACTTTTCTCAGTCAACTTTTTGGACATTGTTATTGTAGAATTAGGGTACTTATGTATGCCTGGTGAGATTTTGTGAATTTTTAAGGTGAAAAATTAAATTGCTTATTGCATGAAAGTTGGTGATTATCACAACCTTTTCAAAAAATGATTTCCAAACTATGGATATTTATCATAAGTCAGCAAATATTATCACCCTATTAAAAGAAAAACATTTTAACAATTTAAAATAAAAATTTTAATTTTTCATTAAAATTATAAAATTAAAAACAAAAGGCATTTTTCGTGAAATCTTTCTGAAATTTGTTTATGCTGTTCTCATGTACAAAGCCATTTATTTTCATTAAAAAAAATTAAAGCTTTAAATTTGCTATCCCATACAACTTCAGTATTGCACTATGAATATCTATGAAACATTTATAATTATTGTTACCTTTATAGCTTTTGAAGCAAAAGTAAATTTGTACATTTTGAAGCAAAATACTGTATTCTTTCAAATATTTGACTGTAGTTTTTCCATTGGTGTCGCGTTCCACAAGTGCATGTTTTAAAGTTGAGTTTAAGGCAGAATATGTCAAGATTTGTTTAGAAAAGCCATTAGAACTTGGCATACAACAAAAAGAACATACATAAAAATAGAACCATTTCTTGACTGAAGGAGTGTTATGAACAGGTTGCTTGACAAAGCTGTGTGATTGGCACTTTTTTAAAATTTAGTAACTTCTGCTAAAATTGTTGCAATAGTGCCTAAGCACCAAATTTTCTTTCTGTAATTTTTTGAATAAAAGTTTTCCCATAATTGAGTATAAGTATAATGCCTATATAGTAATTAGGCTTTAAAATGGTTGTATTTTATTTTTCTGTTTTTGTAATATATTGATGTAATATTTTTCAGCTTGTGTCTTCTAAAAGAGTTATAACATATACTTCAATGAAGGAGAATATTGCTGTGCTGAATGTACCAAAAAAAGTATGTTCTGTAATTTTCTGTGCATATCAGTTACAATTTTCCATTAGATTTGTATATAGCATAGCTGCCAATTCTTACAGCTCAACCAGGAGACTCTCAGTGTTTCATTGCATCTCCTTGTGCATCAGAGAAACTTTTAGTTTTTAATTAGCTTCTTATTTGTCATTGTAATTTGTTCTTTTGACCATCAAACTACAGTGTAATATAAAGCTAAAAAGGAAACTACGCGTAATACCACTGATGAATTATAAGTGGAGTTTTGTGAATTCTAGTTTGAAGATCTCTCTCATGAAGTTTCAAAATTTTGTATGAGAATTGTGTACTCTTATGTTATTGAGACCAGGTTCAGAAATTACATGTATGTATGTGTGGATATGTGTTTGTATACACATACATACATATATGCATGCATGCATAAACATTAACATCCATCCATCCATACATTTCTGAAACCTTTCTCAATGACAGAAGAGTACCGAGAAATATATCGATGATCAGTGGATTTTGATTTCAAAACTTAAGAATGAGTATGGCAAGAAAATATAACCAAGGCTTTATTATACTGCAGTGTTAATATTGATGTAATGCTGAATTGTAATACTGAATGTCAGTGGATATTTGATCAAGGGAAACAAAGAATTTAGATCATCTCTTTGAAATGCAGCTCTAGATAACTGTTAATCACTTAGTGCTGAAGTAAAGGAAGTGCTATGAAGAAAATAATGTTAACACATTCTTATAACAAAGCTCTGGAGCAGTATTATTATCTCTTTATGAAACTTTAGTTGTGTAGATTTCATTCTCCACTCCTAATGATTTTCAGCATAATTTTTTTTATTAGATTTGAATTATTTTAGCTTACTGTAGGCATATGTAGAACTTTTTACGAAGATTCAGGTAATGTATTTATTATATTATATGTATGTATTATTAATATTTATATTTAATTTTATTTTATGTCAATAAATAGGCAGTAGTACTAAGTTTGTCCATACAAATGCATGTATTATTAATTTATTTTCATTATGTTTTAATGTACTTTGATAAATAAAAGCTTTTCTTTCTGATTAAGGATTTTGTTGGTATAAAAGTTTAAGAATGAAAAATTAATCCAAAAATATGAAATTTACGAGGGCCATCCAGGAAGTAGATTACGTTTCCGTCTGTGTCCGCTAGGGGCGGTGCTAGCGCGGCCATCTTGGGGTCAGAGCGTTGCGCAGCTCAGTCTGCATCTAGCCGTGCTAGTGAGAGGTTCGTGCTGTGCTCTGTTCAGATACTGTGACGGTTTGAAATGTCTGCGTTAATTGAAATTCCCGCGAGCTGCGAGGTGCGCTCAGTAATAAGGTTTCTGACTGCAAAAAACTGTAAACCGATAGAAATCTATCGGCAGCTTCGTGAAGTGTATGGGGACAACATTATCACTGAAGGTGGAGTGCGTCAGTGGGTCATAAGATTTCAAATGGCCGAACCAATGTTCACGACGAAGATCGAAGTGGGAGACCCATCATAGTGACCGCCGAACTTCTCGAAAAAGTCGATGCTAAAGTCCGTGAAAATCGAAATTTCACATAACGGAACTTTCTTTGAGTTTTCCACAAATTTTCGCGAAGTTTTGTTGCACGAAATCATCAGCGAAAAGCTTGGTTACCACAAGTTTTGTGCAAGATGGATTCCAAAAATCTTGACAGAGGACCACAAAAATCAGCGAATGGCTGCGCGTTGAACTTTTTGGACGCTTACCATAAGGATGGTGACTCTTTACTCGATCGCATTGTTACTGGTGACGAAACATGGGTGAAACATGTGAACTTGAAACGAAATTGCAATCAATGCAGTGGGGGCACACAAGTTCTCCCCAAAAACCCAAGAAATGCATGCAAACAATGTCGGCAAGGAAGATGATGGCGACTGTTTTTTGGGACAGAAAGGTGTAATTTTGGTGGACTTCCTGGAAAGAGGCACTACAAAAACTCTCAAAGGTATTGCCAAACTCTCCAAAAACTCAGAAGAGCAATTCAAACAAGCGCAGAGGAATGTTAGCTCTAAGATCTTGTGATTCACGACAACGCCCGGCCCCACATGGCAATGTCACTCGTAAAGTTCTTGAATCTTTTAAGTGGGAGTTGTTTCCTCATCTGCCGTACAGTCCCGACCTGGCACCGAGCGACTTCCACCTATTCCCAGCAATGAAGAAGTGGCTGGCTATGCAGCGTTTTGATGACGACGCACAGCTGCAAGAAGAGGTAACGAAGTGGTTGAAGGCGCAGGCGGCCGAATTTTTCGACGAAGGATTTCAAGCTCGTACATCGCTACGATAAATGCCTTAATTTGTATGGTGACTATGTAAAAGTAGTATTTGAGTGTGGCTTTCATCTGTATATAATAAAATTTGTTTCCTATACTTTGTTTATTTTTTTATTCCAAAACGTAATCTACTTTCTGGATAGCCCTCGTAGATTATGTTATTAAATTTTAATCTTTCTACATCAGATTTGAATTTTAAATCATTTAGTAACCTAAATTATGTATTATGAATCATGTGAATGTACTTAATGTTGTCTTGAAATTGCATTACTGGGTAGCATGAAAGCTTACTGGTTTTCCTGTACGAATCTCTAGTTTTTCATATTTCAAGATTGGCAGTTTTATTCTCATATTACATGAAGTTATAATTCTATAATTTCAGATGCAACTCCGCTCATTATGAGTGGGGTTTTTTTTTTTTTTTGTCCTTTTCTTAAAAAAGGAAAGAAAGGAATATGTTTTTAAGTTTGCAGCAGCTTAAGCCATAAAATTTAAGCTTTTACTGTAAATAAAGAATGAGCACAAAGTCCAAGATTTGGAATCATAGGGAATTTGGAGATTTTAAATCATCATTTTAAATCTAATACTTGGAATCTAATACTATCTCTAAATCTGTAAGATGATGTAGACATGGCAACATTGAGGCTTTACTTATTGTTTATGTCAGATTGAAAAATGCGTACCCCCCTCTCTCCCACAACCACTCAAGGATCAGAAATATGATCCCAGTCAACACCAATACATTGTCAATCAGTATATTGTCAGTGGCCATGATACCACTTCCCTAGGCAGCACAGGTGTTTGGATGTGGCATGCAGGAATGTCAATTAATCAGGGGGGAAAATTGCATTTATGGTTTTGTTTTGTAGAAAATTATTATTTGCATTTCTAAAATTTGTAAGGACAGAGGGCATGCATCCCAGACCTAGAAAATAATTTGTCAGCAAATACTTTCCATGTTGCAATATATTATTATGCTGATGCTTATTTTGAAACTGCTGTTATCCTTCAGAAATTTTAAAGACTTCCATTTAGCTGTATGGGAAAGAGAGAGCTGTTCATAATCTATAAATTTAGCAATTGACAATCATCAGTAGTCTCGATGATATATTAAAGATTACTTATTAAGTCTTTATTATACAATTTTTTATCGATGCAAGTTTCCAAATGAACATTTTGCAATGTATATGAACCTGTATTGTCCACTAAGATGCCTACTTTGTAAATCTCTAAAAATTAAGAGAAATCTTTTATTCTATATGTTCAGTCTTTCTGTTTGGTAATGCTGTGTTTTTTGTCATATAATTTAGAAACTTTTGGTCTGCTTGCATAATTTTGTCTTGCTTGCTGAATTCTAGTATTCATTTCTTCTGTATTACTGATCAGTATGTGGGATTTTCCTAGATTGATATTCTTTTATGCATGCGTTTCAAAGCCATTCATTCACTCTAGAGTATTTTTTATAGGTTAAATCTGATAGCCTTTGTTCTCTACTATAAGTCTGCATATTGATTTCCATGATAGAAAAGCTTTTTATGAAATTTCTAGGGGTATTGATTGCCATTACTCTTCCACTACTTTCCAAAGTTCATCAATCATAATGGGTTTACACTTAGATTCAGCTCTTTTCAAGAGACCAAATTCACAATAGTCCATAGGTGGAATATCAGGGGACTTTACATGAATGCATTTAAAAGATATATATGCAATAACTGTATCAGTTTTAATTTTTTTCAGAAAATGCAGTGGTACTTTTCAAAGTGTGACTTGTTACTTTGTCTTTATGAATTTTCACTTTTTGAAAGTCACTGCAATAAAGAAATGGAAGCTCTTGTATAAATATCAGACATAAAACTTCCTCTTGATAGTGCATGGGGTTGATATTAATTTTTTTTTCCATTCTTCCTTTTAGTGGCCAAGGTGAGCGGTAAAGTGGCTGAACAGTGGTAGTTGGGTCCGAGGTTCAATTGCCGCGAACGGGCTGGCTGCAGGAGCGTTGTTTTCATGGTTTTCCCCATGTGCAGTGTGTATATGAGCCAGTTTCCCTAAAAAGTCCTATACGAAGGTATCCCTTCTCTTAGGCACATAGTCCTCAAGTCTTTGCCATATTCACATAAACCAAACCAATCTTGTTTTTAGTTTCCTATTGTCAGAGAATTCTGCGACTATCATGCATGCCTTACTGACTATTTCTTTGCCTTAATGGAACCAGATATGTAATTTTTTTTCTCTTTTTTCAATAATGATTAGACCTTTCTTATCTCTGTCATTTAGGTAAACCTATGCTTTATCAACGGTCATGGTGAATTTCCATTTATCTCCTGCCAAGTAGTTTTTTATACAGGGTTTTGTATTGAGCCACATACATGTCTTGGAAAAAGCTAATGCACGTCATGTTTTTTAAGTTGTAAATCTTAGTTTGTTATTTTGTTTATAGGTTGCTGCAGATGTATTTTAAGTGTTTAATAACTATGTGTTTAAGCTTTTTCTCCATGAAAATCAAGATTTTGCAACGGATTTGTAAACTGCCAGATATTCTCTTTTTACCAATGATTTAACTTTAGAAACATTAGAAATAGTACATATCTTTTTTGAGAATTGTATATTATTAATCAGAAAGGGAAAAACAGTAAATTATTACTTCTTTCTATGTAGAAGTAATAATTTACTGTTTTTCCCTTTCTGATTAATAATATTGCTTATTTTATATTTAGGAATTTTAATATCAGGTGTTTCACAATGTTTTTGAATTATGAAATATTAATTTTTCTCTTCAAAAAGCAAAAGAGCACATCTTTCAGTTCACAGCTTGTTGATATGCTGCATTTTGAAAGAAGAATAAATTTAAAAGTAGTAAACTGTATTTCCCATTTCAAATAATAAACTGCTGCAAGAAATCTTTACTCTAAAACATTTGCTTTTTAAAAAATTATTTATCAAAATCCTTCTAAAAATGTGTAAACACCTTCTGTATAATTTTGGAAAAAATTTCTTTTCGCTGAAAACTTGAAAACTGTTCTGATTGACTTCCTGTTTTTTTTTTTTTTTTTTTTAAATCAGAAATTAAGTCAATTTAGTGTGCCTACATCATTGTCCTTTTGCCCAGTAGGATGAAAATTAATTTTCAGTTTCGTGCACCGAAAATATTGTCTGTCCAATTGCTTGTTTTTTGCATACAAACTGTAATTTAAATTGTAAAAAAAATTGAAAGTATATTTAACTGTATTTGGTGTTTTATGTTTTTCTGTATTTTACAATTTTTAATGAAGATGTTTCGAGTTTTTATGTATTTTTGCCTTGTGGTAAAGAACTGGATTAATTCAATGAGAAATATATCTAATGAAATTTGATGAAATGAGTTTAAATGAAATGCAGCAAAAAATGTGTATTATTTAATAGGCCGTACAAAAATCCATACTAAAATCCAACACAGGCTGTACAAATAATCTGATGTGGTGTCCACATAGGATTTTTTTTTTTTTTTTTTAGTATTTATATTTTTTGAATTGAGCGATTATGCATAATTATAAATGTGTATACTAACGGAAGATATACATAACTTGAGGAAGGGTTATGAACCATAACTAATGGTTCATAACCCTTCCTCAAGCTAAATGACTAATGTATTATGCTAAATGACTTTTGTAAAATTATTAATGTATGATGAAACTGAAAAACAAGTTTAATAACTGCAATTAATATTTTAAAGAATAATGATGCTAAATTAGAAACTTAGCATCATTATTCACTTTTTTAGTTGATGTTGCAGTGTTATTCAGTTTTTTTTTGGGGGGGGCAGGCTGAGTTATCGATCAGTTTTTTATTCTTTTTGTAATGCTATCTTTTTTTTAAATTGGATTGACTGTCACAAACTAAATATCATTCGCTTGAAAACATTATAGTGGCTTTCACTCCCGTTGTTAAGGTGTGCTAGAACTTCTTGATTTTTTATGTGCACATAGAAAAAATATATTTAATCATGTAATCTTTGTCTCGACATGAATTGCATTTATTCAATCTAACTTCACCATCTTCATGTTTGAATGTATGATGTACAATAGATATTTTAGTATTCCAAATGTATGTAAATTGAGAACTATTTATAAAGTAAATTTTTAATTAATAATTGCATAATTGTGCTGGAAAACCCCAAATGTTGTAATCTTCTTATTTCACTTTATAAACAGCTGTATAATGACTTCACTGCAATTAAGAAGGAAGAATGAGCATCGCTGTAGTGATTTTCCTTTAGAGTTTTTTTAGTTTTCAATTTCATTTTTATTGAAGTTTTAAAAAATATGGAAAGAAAGAATCACTAAACAAATAAAAAGTCATTATTATATCTCTAAACAAGTAGAAAATGATTGTTGACATTCACTTTGGCAAGACAATCTTATATCAATATGCATCAATAATCATTTGTCATTTTTAGCGTAACCCCTTAGTGTTCATAAATAATTAATGTTTGGGTATTGGTAACTAACAGATATGCTCATTTCTAATGTGTATCAGATAATTTTAAAATATGTCTTTCTGATGTGCACATCAAAGTACATTACACTGGGACACCTCATAGCGTTTTTAAACTTATTAAAACTACTTACAGTGTTTATTATTTTAATCACCTCAAATCTTTTTTTTTTTTTTTTTTTTTTTTTTTTTTGTAGTTGTTAGATTCTTATATTCTTGGGTGAAGAGTTGCCTTTCTAAAAAGAAAGTAATCCTTTATCTTAATGGAGGTGGGAAAATGAAATGTTTAGATTTTTGTAAAGCATACATCAGAATGGAGTCAGAAGCAGGTAAATTTGAATGCTTCATAATTAGCAGTAAATATGATTTTGTAGATCTAGAAACTAGCACATGTAGTAAAAAAATTGAGCAATTGTAGGAAAACATAAAATGGTGTAATAAAATTTCTCTGATTATGGCATAATTAATGCTGTTTTGAAAACATTTTGAAGGATATTAAAGATTTCTTGCCTTCTTCAACTCAATAATTATTATTAAATGATGAATGCAACATTCTGAATATCCTTCTAAATATTTTAAGCATTGGAGTTAAGAATAGCTGGTATTTAAGCATATCAATTAAAAAGGCAGTTACTTTGATCCGAAAATTAGTTACTGACCTAATGTGGCACCTTAGTTTCTTGTTATGTTTAGCAAAAGTCACATATTTGATAATATATCACCTACTTTGCTCTTGAAAAAATTCTCTGCTGAGATTTTAAACTAATGCCATTCCCCACCTTTAAATTATTATTATTTATGTTGATAAAATTTATTTGATGTTTGCTGAAATTTTGAAGTTTTTTTATAATAAAATGTGCTATTTGAGTAGATTTGAATGCTTCATTTCATTTTTAGAAACCTATCACTGTGGTTGATGTACCAGGAAATGAAAGGTTGCGATTTAAGTATATTGAAGAATTTATGCCATCTGCAAGGTAAGTTTTATGTATGCATAAAGAAAAGAAAAGAAAGTAATCCTTTAACTGTTGATAAAACATTTTTTAAGTGTTCTATCCTTTATTTTCTAGATTTTATATGGAATCAAAATACTGATTTCACTGATTTACTAAACTCAAAGTTTTAGAGATATTATTTACATGATTTATCCAACCATAGTTATTTAAGATTTGCCATTCTTTTCTTTCATTCTTTTTTGTTAAAAACTTGGCTGTTTTGTTTGTTAGATTGTTTGTGATTTTGAAAACTTTCCCCATGCATTAAAGCATTTCTTATGCATTAAAAGATCTTTTCCAAGGTGAAATTCTAGATAAGTGATATCATGTTCTTGAAACGAAGGCCTTAAAATGTATTTTTGATGTTGGTGAAACTGAGATTATTTGAAAAATCAATGAAACAGCCCCCCTCAGGGGCTCACTTTTGTGAGTACAGGTGTGACTATTCCACAGTACCCTAATCCTTCAAGGGACCACTTTCTTGGTGAGACGGGGTCATGATCTTAGAGCCTTTAGTGATCTTTCCTGCTTTCCTTTTCACCTCTTCTCCTCTCTGCTATTTCCATTTCTTCCACCCTTGTGGTTTCCCTTTCGGAGGTTCGGGCTCAAAGGGAGATTCTGTCACATCCCTTTGTTTAGAGTTTCTCAAGAAGAGAAAATCACCTGTGCGTTTGGCGTACATTGTAACTCGTAAGGCTGGAAAGGAGGGTCCTGGTAGTTGAGGGGCGAGGTACTGTCCCCAATATACTGCTTTGGCCAACATCAGATTGAAACAGGAGGCACTTAGTTGCCCCCACTAGTGTCAATTGGCTGGTTTTTAAGGACAATGGCTTAGAGATAAGCTTTTGGGAGAGCTGACTATGGGGGCTTCAGATTGCGTATAGACTGGGTTAACCCTGGTGCAGTTTTCTGCATCCCCTTTTTGTACTTCGTGGTGGGTGGCACTGCCGGGTCCGAATAATTTCTCTCTTTAATATGGCTAATTCAAAAATATATATGATTAAAGACCTTGAAGTCAGTCCCGTCGCTCAAAGCATTAGTTCTGAAAAATCTGCTGAAAGAGTACGTGCAGATGCAAATGCAAATAACCCTAACAATAGTCCCGCTTCCTTGTTGTCTCTAGTCCTTCTGGCAAGCTGCAAAAGATGTCTCCTTTTTTGATAAATAAATACATCCATTTCTATATTGGTGACCCCAGAAATATAAAGCATCTGCACTCTGGAAACTTGCTCATTGACACAACTTCGGCTACCCAGTCTACTTCCTTACTTCAAGTAACCAAACTTGGGCAAGTGAATGTCATTGTAACAGCACATAAGACGTTGAATAACTGTTGCAGTGTAATCTCGGAAGTCGGCCTTCTCTGTGTTTCTGAAGAAGAGATCGCATCCAAGCTGTCTGACCAAAATGTCTTTGGTGTTAAACGGATCAAGATGCATAAGGAAGGTCAGTTGATCGATACTAAACACATGATCCTGACCTCCAACTCGCCTGATCTGCCTAAGAATATTAAGGCTGGATACCTAAACTGTCCTGTAAGACCATCCTATGTGATGCTTCCAATGGCAGCACTTCGGATATTCTAAGATGTCTTGTCATGGCAGCCTCACATGCGCCCGATCCTCACATATTGGTTACGATTGTGATAATTGAACCGCTTCGCCTTTGTGTATAAATTGCAAGGGTGAACACCCAACATTTTCGAGTTTGTGCCCGAAATGGAAATCAGAAAAAGAAGTGCAGACTGCAAAAGTAACTAGGAATATCACATATGCTGAAGCCAGAAGATTAGTCCGAAGCACACAGGTTCGACCACATACATCTATGCCAATGCTCTTAAAAACATCTCGTACAGTTGCCACCCAAACTTCAATTGGTACACAGACTCTGCAAAATAAAACCCAACCGACTACAAACAACAAGAAAAAAGAAAACCCAGCTCTTTTAGTACAGAAAAAAGAAACAGTCATTCAAAGTAAACCCAAAAATGCCACTCAGAAAATAATTAATAAAATAGAAGTCTGAGCAATAGCTCTCTTGATGGGATGATTTCTGAATCTGCAGATTCAGATAGTATGAAAGTAGAAGAGGCTCTAGAAGTTCCCAGGCATCTACTTCCACGAAAAACTAAACAGCAGCACAGAAAGTACAAAAACCAATCATAATCGCCACTCTCGTCTCATGAAACTGTCGTGGTTACCATTGAAATTTGTGTGACATCAAAGCTACAACCAATGCTTATCATCCTGTGTGCTTAGCAATACGGGAAACAAATCTGAAACCAGAACAACAAGCAAAACTTCGGAGGTTTTCTTTCGTCAGGAAGGATAACCTTGCAGGTGAACATGCCAGTGGAGGTGTAGGTCTCCTCATCTCACTTGACTATCCATCAAATGCACTTTTTTTAACAACATCCCTCCAAGTTGTCGCTACTGAAGCAAATTTTGATATTGTTGTTTCAATCGTTTTTTTGTATTTGTCTCCAACTGAGCACATTGATCAGCAAGATTTAAATGGTCTTATAGAGCAGCTGCCCGAGCCCTTTAGCATAATAGAAGATTTTAACGACCATAGTAAAGATACAAATTCCTGAGGAAGACAAATTGAGCAGATGATTGAAGGCCATAGCCTTTGTCTCCTGAATAATTGGCAGGATAATTACTTCCATGAGCCTTCAAGGACATTCCATGCTCTTGACCATGCCATCTGTTCATCATCTCTTTTGCCATTTTTCACTTTTAGTCAGGGACATGATCTTTACAACAGTGATCATTATCCCATTTTTGTATTTCTTGCACGAAGAGGAGCACACCCCATGTCGAGATCCCCTCGGTTCATACTTGATAGGGTAGACTGGGAACTCTTCTTTTCCTGTAGAGTTCACAGAGAACATAGTAGGAGATGTGTAAATCGATGACGCAGTTGAAGCAGTCACCAATACTATTATTCATGCAGCTATGCTCTCTATACCCAGAACATCAGGGAATATGCTAAAGTATTCCAAACCATGGTGGAATCGTGAGTGCCATGAAACAGTGAAAAAGCACGAGGAATTTTTCGCAGATACCCTACTTTGCGAAACCTTATAGCATTTAAAAAAGCCAAAGCAAGTTCACGAAAAGTAAGAAGGCAAAGCCAGAGGGATTCTTGGATTTCATATGTGTCGTCAATAACATTCTCTATGCCTAGTAAGCGGGTTTGGGAAAGAGTTACAAAAGCGTGCGGAATATATAAAGGCCACTCACTTTCCTTTTTGGAAAAAGATGGCCGAGTGATTAGCTCCATAGAAGAAATTGCGAATACTATTGGAGAGACATTTGCTGCCGTTTCATCCAGCAAAAATTATTCACCTGCATTTCTTTCTATCAAGCAGTGCTCTGAGAGAAATCCCATCACTTTCAACTTTTCCAACTTTCATCCTTATAATGGATATTTTACTATGCTAGAGTTAAAGAGAGCTTTGTTGCAGACTCATAGGTCTTGTCCAGGTCTTGATGGCATGTATTACGAAATGCTGAAGCATTTGTCCTATGAGTCACTGACTGCTCTTCTCACTCTTTACAATAGGGTGTGGAAGGAGTGAACTTTTCCCAGTGCATGGAGGAGAGCTGTTGTGATTCCCATTGTTAAGCCAGAGAAAGACCCGAGGAATCCCTTGAACTATCGGCCAATTGCCCTTACTAGTTGCATATGCAAACTGTTTGAAAAAATGGTAAACAGCTGTATAGTCTATTTCTTGGGGAAGAATAATATAATTTCACCTTATCAAAACAGTTTTCAAAAGGAAAGAGCAACGATAGATAACATGCTCCTTTTGGAGACATTCATTCAAAAAGCTTTTGTAAGAAGGAATCACCTTGTCTCAATTTTTTTTTTTTTTTTTTTTTTTTTTTTTTTTTATATATAAGGAAAGCTTATGATAAGGTGTGGAGATATGGTATACTTAGTGATCTTCATGATCGTGGCTTGTGTGACAACCTACCATTTTTCATTCAGAAATTTTTGGAAACTAGAACTTTTCAAGTAAGGATTGGCTCTGTTTTGTCAGAATTTTTTAAACAGGAAGAGGGTGTGCCTCAAGGCTGTGTGCTTAGTGTAACCCTGTTCAGCCTAAAAATAAATTCTGTATTAAAACAACTTCCTCTCACCATTTCAGGATCTTTATATGTTGATGGTGTACAAATTAGCTGTCGAGGTGCAGATATGAGACGTGTAGAGAAGCAGCTCCTGATCGCTTTGAACAGGATTCAGGAATGGGCAAACAGACAAGGATTTACATTTTCGAAACAGAAGACTGTGTGTGTGTGCACTTTTGTAGAAAGTGAGGTCTCCATCCTGAGCCTGAATTATATCTTGATGGGTCTGTGATTCCAATTGCACCTTAAGTAAAATTTTTAGGGGTGATCGTTCGCCCAAAAATTGACTTTCCTTTTTCATGTCCTAAACTTGGGAAAGAAGTGTAAAAAATTTTTAAATATTTTAAAAGTACTGGTGAACGCTTCCTGGGATGCAGAACGTTTCTCTATGTTTCGCATTTACAGAGCTCTTGTTCGCTCTAGACTGGACTACGGCTCAGTTGTTTACGGATCCGCTCGGTCTTCAATGTTGTTAAAACTAGATCCTGTTCATCGGGCTCTGCAGATTTGTTCTGGAGTCTTCAGGACGTCTCCTGTCCAGAGCTTTTATGTTGACTGTTACGAACCATCACTCCGTTTGAGGCATGAGGAGTTGTCTCATTACAGTATTTTAATATATTGTCTCAACCTGACCATCCTTATAAACTGTGTTTACTTGATGATAGCTGTGACCTTTTATTTGAAGCACATCCATCCTGTGTGCCTTCTTTTCCTGTCAGAGTTCGTCCTTTCATTGAAGAATTCTCCCTGTTTGATATGTCCCCACAAGCAGTACAGCATTTTGAAATCCCACCTTGGGAAAATGCACAAATCTAGCTTCTTGATATTTTTCACAGTTATGTCAAAACAACCACTAATGAGAGCATCTAAAGATAAATTTTTGCTGAGCACAGGCATAGTTACAGAAGTTATGTTTGCATATATATGGATGGATCTAAGTCAACTTGTCATGTTGGGATGTCATTTATAATTGGTGACCACATAGAGGGCAGATGTTTACACGATGCTTCCTCGGTCTTAACCTCTGAACTGATTGCCGTATATTATGTGCTTTTGTATATCTCAATGCTACACCATAGAAAATTCATTATATATACAGACTCCTACAGTGCATTGAAAGCTTTAGAATCTACTGTGATAGTGGATATGCTCAAGCTGAACATTAAATTAACAAGTCGTGGATATGAAATTCTGTACTGCTGGGTTCCCAGACATAACAGGAATAAAGGGTAATGAGTTGGCAGACATTGCAGCGAAATCTGCTGTTGAACTCTCTGGTTGCCTCATCCCTTTGAGAGATATCAGTCGTGTCATCAAACAAAGGATCTTAAAAAAGTGGCAGCAATTTGGGGACTTCCAACCTTGTAAACAAGTTAAGAATGGTGAAGCCTAAAATAGAGCTTTGAGATTGTATTAGAAATCGTAAGGAGGAAGTCTTTTGACTCGGCTTAGAATAGAATATGTCACACTAGAGTGATTTATAACTATCTACTTAAAGCTGAAAATGAGCCTGTTTGTACAAATTATAATGTTTGTCTGTCAGTCCATCACATTTTAATTGAGTGTCAATAGTTTAATAGTCTTCGTCAGAAGTATTTTAATAGTTGTGACCTGCCTCTCGACCGTTTAATCGGAAGAGAGGTCAGTACCAATTTGTTTCAGTACCTGAAAGAAACAGGTCTCTATTATTTAATTTGATTTCATCTTGAGATTTTATGTTAGAATTTTAATGCTATATATTTTAATGAATCAGATGTGTTATGATTTTAAATCCGTACTGCATAGATCATTATCTGATCATGGTGGGATGAAAATCTTAATCAGAATTTCATCCCACCATTTCATTATCTTACTACTTGCCTTGACTTTATAAATGTGCTGTAGCCAGATTTTATAAATAGATAACATATCCAATATGAAGATATCACTGACATTCTCAATAAACACTTTTGGATTGAATTAGAATGTACAAGCCAAGTTGCAAGATGAAACCTTATTACTGATGTGACAGTTCTTTTTGTAAAGCTAGCTTTTACATGTGGACTTTAGCTGTGGAAAGCCAAATATTGGTTCTTTCCTGCAGAATGCAAATTATTCAAGTGATATATCATTTTTATAATAATACTGAATCTATGTAAGCTATGAATATTTGAAAAAATATTTGTTTTGTAAGCATGTATGTTATTTTTAATAGCATTGATATAAAGATAAGTCATATAGATTTCATGGTGTAGCATATCAGTAACTCTTTCAGAATATATAATATCATTTTTAATAACTTTAATAATATTTCAAATATTTTTTAAATCTACTCTGGTTGTAAGTATCTTAGTTCAAGAAGTAATTTGGGCTTTAATTCCATTTCAAGAAATTACTTTTATTAGTCGAAAATAACTCCCCCCTCCTGGAAAGTAATATCTTCCTTTATATTACACTGTTTTAGGATAAAATTTTAAGAAATAAAAACGTAAATGAAAATTTATTTTATCTTGCATTAATTTTAAAAAAGTAATTTTTAATATTTCCTTTCCTTCAGATTGCAATAAAAGTACCATTAGCTACTTTAACAAAACTATGGCACAAGGACAAAATTGTTCCCTTTAAATATAGTGATACATTGTTACACATTTGTTTTCCTAAACTGAAATTGCTTAGCTAGAGGTAGTTATAATGATTGCAGATGTTATGTATGGTAATTTTAAGTGTACAAAACATTTGCAATCGTAATAATCATATGTGGTTATTATATTATTCTTAACATATCGATAATCATAATTGTTAAATATATTGCAATTAGTTATGTAGCTTATTTACTATCTAAACAGAGTATCCTCTCATTCTGCTGTTTCATTTATCAAAATATCTGGTAATAAGACCCTATCAAATTTTAAAAAAGTGTATCATAAAAAGGGTCTTATTTTAAAATAAATACAATATGTGCTGTATCTTTGAGAACAGTTAAGCTTGTGCTGCCTATTCATGGGTGTAATCTATTGCAAGCATTTTGGTTACTATAAAATCACAGTTTTGTTTAAGTTTTTCATTTGCAAATGAATTCAACACAAAATGCAGAAATATTAATTCCATTTGAGGTTTGTGAAGGAAAGTGAAATAGAAGGCAAATGTTCAGATATTTTGATCAGATATCTCTATTTGTTTAAATGTTTCTAATGGACTTCAAATTAAATTAACTGTATATATCATTTGCTTCTGCCATCTGTAAGTTTAGATAAAAGACATCAATTTTTATTCATAAAAATTTTCAAAAAATATATTTTTGAAACTTTATTATTATTGTATAGTTATTGGAAATCAAAGTATATTTTTCTCAGTATGTGTTCACTATATACTTTCTGTATTTAATTATAACATATTGTCATTCTTATTCTAGGGGTATCATATTTGTGATAGATAGTTTGACCTTTCAGAAGGAAATTAGAGATGTGGCTGGGTAAGTCTAGGAAAACAGTAAAAAAATTTCGTGCTTACATTAATATGTATCTGTACTTTTTTTATACATATTAGATGAATGTGAATGTAATTATTTAAAAAACACCTCACATGTGAGCATACGGAGAATATTTTTAATATTTTAAAACATTTATAAAATTTTACATAGAGTGAAGAGATGAAAATAGCAGAATTAATGAGTAATATTTATTCTTATAATTTATGCAGGCTTTGTTGTAAATAATAATAAAAAATCAATGCTCATATTTAATAAAATTATCTGTTATGTAATTCAATTTTTTCTTATAAATTTTATTTTAGGTTCCTATTTACACTTCTGCAGGAACCATTTGTACATCATTACAGAATTCCATTTTTAATAGCTTGTAACAAGCAAGGTATGTTTACTTCTTATGATTTGTTACATTAATTAGTATGGTAAAACCTCAGTCCATGAATTTATATTTCATTTTCTAAAGGTCAATCAACATCAGGTAATTGTCTTCTAGAAGCATCTTCTTTGCCTTTTAGCATCTCTTGACTATGCTTGGGACTCATGGGGTCTCCATTTACTTTTGCTGTAGTTTATTATTACTTTACAGGGTGATATAATTAAATGAAAATGCTGCATCTTGCTGCTTTCTGGAAAATTTCATAGATCTAAGAACTAGGAAATTCTCCCTTCCTCTGAAGAATGGCCATTGCAATCATCTTTTGTTCCTGTTTCTGAAATTCTTGCAATTCTTTCTTCTTGTGCTCACTTTTATGGACCTTTATTAACTTTCCCCATGTCATCGTTAATTTCCAAACCTAAGCCTGGATATGCTGTATCATAAATAAATAAATAAAAAAAAAATCTTCTAACATGAGTGGATCTCCAAGTCTTTCTTTGCAATCAAATCTGTGAAATCACTTTTAATTGCACAGAAGTTCAATTTTAATTAACTGGTGCTGTGATTGCTGTACTGATGCAGTTTTTATTAATATTTGGTATAAAATTGTTTAACATGATTCTTAAATCACCTTGTTCAAATATATTCAACTTTTTCTTGTTTTCCATAATAAATTATTCTCTTTACTAAAACCCTGATAAGAAATTGGAAATGTCAATAATGTTGGTTCAGTAATAATTTTTATTTTGTGATATTTATTTCCCTTGGATGACTTTTAAATTTGAAAACTTAGGGTACCCATTTGTTTGGGAATAAGACTTGTTATTTAACATCCTCTTTCAATGTAATCAATCTTGCATTATAATATCAATATCAGTTAATCCCAGGTCAACAAGCTGTGGGAGCTATGCTAACATGTTCAAATTTTCAGTATCTTGGAAGGGAACATCAGTCTCCTTTTAAATTTTGCAAGTGGTTTGTGGCAACAATACGTCTTCTGAGAAAATACAGTTCTTTTCAACAGCAGACAACTGGATTAAGTTATGAAAGTAACTGAATTCTTTCCAATTCATTGTTGATATAAACAAGTCAACAGAAGATAACCTTTCACAAAAACTGAAGCTAATAATTTTAAGTGTCAATAAGAATGATGGCTTTTTTCTTGCAGTTTATTTTGTGTGGCAACTGGCAATAAGTATACACTATAAGACCAAAAAAGAAAATAGGAAAAAAAAAAAAAAAAAAAAAAAAAAAAAAGATGCACCAAGAAGGAATACTGCAAATTGAACACAAATTGATATACATACTGGTTTCAGCAGAAAATGCTAAAGTTTAAAGTCTGTTGATCAATAAATGACCATGTGACATTGCAGTGCATCTTAGCTGTGCAAATGACAGGATATTAAAGAGGGAAATTTTGATTCCGGATCATAATATTTTTGCAAATTTTCTTCTATGTGCTGAGATAGACAGTAACTCTGCCTCACATACATGTGTGCAAACAATATGCATTTGAGAGATGACATGTAGTTGGACTGAAAGAAGCCAGTTGGTGTAATTGGCGAATCACTTGACATTTGGGTAGGGGTGATGCCATAATCAGATGATGTTGGCAGGAATAGGTGAACCATGGTCAAACACAGCATCAAGAAGGAAGCTGTCAGCCTAGAGAGATTTAGTTATGTCTATAAAAGGCTGTAAAGACTGAGTTTAACTATTCTGATCAATTGCCTGTGCATATTTAGTTACTGAACCACTGATCATCATTCACAACCTTTAAAATTTAATAACCTCCAGGGAATCAGTACAGATTCTGTTGGGAACCCCAGTTAGAGATGATTACTTACTTAAACAGTATGTTGTGGTTGTGCATAAGCTCATGGCACAAAACCAATGGAAATAATTAATTCTAAAGTTATAAACACAATATTGAAGAGATAAAAAAATTTACTACACCTGTGCAATGTATTGTGAATAGTATAAGTGGAATGTGTTGAGGAAGAGAAAGGGAAGTAATGGTATTATTTGATTGAGTGGGTATCCTTCCCCAAAACATCAAGTTTATTTCACTTGATTCTGCTTAAGACTCAGTGGGCTTCTGTTCCACTTTAAAGTTTGTCAAGTATGATTTGTTACTGTCTATCTCTATTATTAAATTATAAAGAACCTGTATGTATATTCCTTGCAATGTGTGAAAATGGCGGCATGTAGAGTCACCAGATTTTGAACACATGATATTCTTCATCCGAGAATCTGCATCTCAAAGCTAAAATTTTGATTTTTTTTAAATTTATTTTATATTTTGTGTGAATTTAATAAATTATTGATTAACCAACTCAGTAATTTAAAAGCAGTGTGTTGTCTCTCTACAAAATGTAAGATATCCATGCTTCAAATTTAATCCAAAATCTTTGTAAATTAAAAGAAATGTATTGCCATTCAACAAAGATATATATTTTTCAATTTTAATTTAAAAACTCAGTGATTTAAAAGAAATCTATTGCCACTAGGCAAAGCAATGTAATAAAATGATTTTTAGTGTTTCAAATTTAATCAACAGACCTAGCAATTTAAAAGAAATGTGTAGCTACAACCTGAAATAAATTATTTTTATATTCCACACACCAGTATGTTACCATTTGACAAAGCAAAAGATATTTAATATTTCTTTCCAATTCAATCTCTTGTTGATTAGCATACTAAGTGATTTAAAAGCATAACTAAAGCAATAAGTTCTTCATCTGTATTATTTTTAATTACTAGCTAGATTCATTAAAATCTTTATAATTTTTTCTTTTTTCATAATAACTGTTTTTGGTAGCTGGCTGCAGAGGTGGGTAGTGTTTTTAAATGCATCTAAAGCAAATCACGGCATTACCAAATGAGAACGCTTATACTGTAGCATGCTCCTGCTTTATCAGGATGAAAAAAATAATTTACCCAATTTTGCAGGTAAAAAAAAACTAGGATCATTTCTTCATCCTAACCTTTTTCTCTGAAGATAATCACCTCCACATTCACCTTTTATTGTTACTTTTGAATTTATTGTATTTATTTCTTATTTGTTCTGAAATCTGCATTTTTTTCTTATCTTTTTGTGTCCTTCTTACTGTAACTCCTACTCTTCTTAGCTTTCAGGCTCATGATTTAGTCTAGAAAGACAATATCATAGGTAACAAAAAATGCCCAAAGTAGTAAAATGCCCTTCAAAGTCTCTTCCATAATTTCCTCTGGGCAGAATTAATTATCATGTACGTCATTTGCTGCCACAATGGAGAATATTAAAATCATGTTTCCAGTAGTTCCTGATTGTTAATTTTGTGGCATAAGGTTACCTCAAAACTCTTTGAAAATTATTTTTTGCTGACTTGAGTGTACATGACTGAAGGTACCGCTAATTGTGCAAGACTCTGATTTTTTTTTTTTTTTTTTTTGTTCACATAATTTGTTCATGAACTGAATAGTTTGTGATCTCTGGTTCTACTGTGTAACATTTCTTTCTGTTCTTGAAATTATAATGTTTAAGATATTGTACCATTATCACAAATTATAACTTTCACATGAGTTATGATAGTTACAAGATTTGATAGGTCATGGAGCTACACAGTTTCATAAGTCTGTACTGTTACTGTACACTCTGATGTAATTTTCTGCTCATATATTTTACATATGACAGCTAAAAATAAAGCATGGTTACTATCTGTCCTGGTCTCCTTCTTACTGTTATATGCTTACAAGATTACCGAATATCCTGATTTGCAATTTATTTAAAAGTTAGACTATTTAATTTCATATTACTATTACCGAATTTCCTGATTTGCAATTTATTTAAAAGTTAGACTATTTAATTTCATATTACTATATTTTACATCAGAATAACATTATAAATAGCTCAATAACTTGAAACATGCATTGTAAAGTATATTTACATCAGTTTGCAGTTTTTTGAAATGGCATCACTGCACAGCATAAAAATCTTCTGATCTTTCATGTTATTCAAATCAAAGTTGGCAACTGTGATAAAGATTTAGATGTGTCAGCTATGATATAAATCTTTTTTGTGGCTTTTGGAAAATGATGTATTGATTCTTTTTATTTTCTTCATTTGAAAAAGAAAAATCTGTTATGTATTCTTACTTGATATTGAAAAAACAGGAAATCATTATTTAAATAAGGCATAAAGTTACACATTCATACATTTATAAAATATTTAAAGATGCACAAACTAAAAATTTTCAAAATGTTGCTTTGAAAAAATGTAATTTTTAATTGAAAACTGTAATTGAAAATTCTTGTAATTTTTAATCATAATTAAATTATTTTTAATTTAAGTAAACTATTAAGTAACTGAAAATTAAAAGCTATTTCTAAACATATAAAAATATTGTTCCATAAATGTGTAATTATTAAGTTTTAAATAAGTTTCATTAAATGGTAAAATTGTTAAATTTGTATATTAGTTTTAAATTAAGTTTGTATTTCTTCCCGTTTCTCTCTAAAAACCATTTTTCTCCTCACTGTCTAAGAATATGCTATGCTCATGCTGAGTTTTGAGTTCCCGAATTTGTAAAAAGTCATTTATAAGAGTGAAAATTGCTGTTGATTTCTTTTCTGAATTTGTAGTGTTTATTCTGACATTTTATCCATAAAATATAATTAAAACATTACTAGTTAAATTTGAAAATTAAAGCTACATTAAACAGTTATTTGAAATTTATTAAAGCAATTAGGGTATCTTTAGTTACAAATATGACATTTATTATATATTTGATATTATGAAATTTATTAAAGCAATTAGGGTATCTTTAGTTACAAATATGACATTTATTATGTATTTGATATTAGTGACACATAAGTATGCTATAATGCTATTTCCAACTCAGTTTTCTGCAGTTTATTTTTTTAAATTGATCAAAATATTCTAAAAGATTTTTTAGTACTTGGGCATTATCCACCCAACCCTTCACCAATCTAACATGTGAAAAACAGTGCAGTGAAAATAACATAAAACAGCATTGAATAATAAAATTAAAATTCCAAGAAACATCTACAACCCTAAAAATTATGTAAAATAAACATCCATAATGAAACACTCAAAATTATTTTATAAAACAGCAACAAATTAACTAAATTAAAAGCACAGCATCCATAATAAAATACTTAGCTTTCTTTTTTTCCTGGTCTATTTACACACAGTCTGTTTTGATTTAAAAACTCACAATAGAATTGCAGAATTCTCAGCAGAGCAAATAGGCACTGCTTTCCATGCACACATCAACCTGTTTTAACTTTAAAAAACATCAGAGAATTGCAGAAATTTACTTGATAGATTGTGCATTCTTACACTTTTTGCTACTAAACAAAATGCCATATTTCTGAAATAAAGGAAACAAAAAAGTGCAACACTTTCATTTTGATTAGCAAGCAAACTCTACAGTGGCATTATAATTCATTAAAAAAAAAAAAAAAAATTCAACAGCAAGCACCCTTGGCCCTTGAATTTCAAAACCTTAACCATGCACACAACTCGCTGGTGCAATGCACTTGCAACCATTGCCAGATAAATCATTTTCCCTAAAATTTTGGGTTCCTACTTTGGGAACATAATGCTTTTCATGTTGATTCTTGTCAGGGTTGGGTGGTTAATCAGAGAGTAACCTTATTTCATGGAAACTCTGTATATTTGTTATTGCATAATACTTATTATATATTTGTTATTATGATATTGCTTCATCAGTGCCATATTCAAGAAATTTGTAGCCTTATAACTGATTTAAAGTTTTAAGTCTTATTTAGAAAATTCTCATGTAACTTAAAAAATAAATAAATCTATCACTCCTCCTCTTAATTCCATATATATGTATACATCAGAATTTTGTTCTCAGGATAATTAAATAGATCACATTTAATTTCATACATTCAAGGACTTTTTCCCTTCTTTTTTGAAATAAGACAAGTTCTAAACTTGTTGTAAATTTAAAATAAAACATTGCAGGTTGTTAGCCATGACTTGGTTGTACAGGATGCATCTTTTGCTAATTATCTAATTTTATTGTTTTCCCCATTTTAAAACACAGATCATAACTAACATTGATGAAGTAGAATGTGATGCTTTATCATTTGGCTATTTGTTTAAAATTTTAGTGTCACTGTGTTTGGATCACACACCATTCTGCCTATTAATATTAAAATAGTTTAACAGAATAAATTTATATTTCTAACGGTTTAATGCTTAAATTTCTTTGTATTAAAATGCATAATAATTAATGTTTTATCATATATTTTAAATGTTACAACTGCAGATTTTTCCTTCATTCATTATGCTATAAATATCTTACAGATCATGCAGTTGCTAAAAGTGCTAAAGTAATCCAATCTCAGTTAGAAAAAGAAATGTAAGTAGATTTTTTTTTATACGTTTAGCTGCAGAAAGATGTTTGAAAGGGAAATACTAAATTTGAGTTTTTCTTTGCATTATTATAAAATATCAAAGAGTTTTTTTGTGTTGTTAATGTAGATTCTGTTTCATAATTGTGAAAATATATTTTTGAATTTGTGTAAACAAAATCAAACCTTGACAGTAAAGATTTAAATTGATCTTTAAAATTTCTCCTTTGCTTAAAAAGTAAATTCTAAAATGAAGTTGAAAAAAGATTTGAATTTTCTTTAAACTTTTTCCTTAAAATAAGTATTTAATCTAGTGAAAGGGGGAAAAAAGTTAATTGTTGCAAATGCTTCTATTGGAAACTTTCCATATATTTTGGACCTTTTTTGTGATGTGGCATTACATATGTTTATCTTCTTTGCTCTACAAGTGCAACCATTGGAGGAAACAAGATTTTAAATTTATCTCCTATATAGCATGACAAATAGCCAGTTTACAGAGTGCTGCTATTAAATGTGACATGAGATCTTTATTTTCCTGCAGATTATATTGTATAACATGCTGAGTAATTAAAAAATAATAAACATAATTAATTTTATTGCTAGTGAACATCTGTCTATAGATTGAGAGTAACTAGCAGTCAGCCCCTAGATTTTCAGTGTGCAGCATTGTAAATTTTGGTAGATTGGGACATTGAATGTGTATGGAATTAAAGACATTCATATCTATAATTATATATTATTGCCAGGGATCTATGGGTTGATAAGTGCTAGCAGTCAACTTCCATGCCACTTGTGCAGAACAGTGAAGTAAATTTAAATATACTTAAACTAAAAGGTATTGAGAACTGTATACTGTAGTTACTGACTGTCAGATCACTCATTGTTGTTAACAGCATGGTAAACTTAGACAGGCTAGTAAAGTACAATTAATCTCTGAAGTGACCAATATGTTTCCTCTCATCATCTATAAATTGGCAACCACTGGTGGTCAATCCATGGGTCATTTGTAGCAATGCAGTAAATTTAGTTAAATTATAATGAAATAAAATTAAATTGAAGGGTAATAAAAATCATTAAGTCCATTGGTCACTAGCACTTTTGTAGTACTTTTAGTGGTGTGTGGTAGCGAAGTGTTTCATACTTTGGCAACATTTGCCAAGGTATGAATGATAATTGTATGATAGTGTAGAATAACATAACATAATACTCCAAAAATTTTGTAAAGACTCCATTAAGTATGTTACTAACATCAAAATATTACATCTATTAATTCATGTTGAGGACTAAAGAGTGAAAACTAATACAGTACAAAGTCCGTAATCCGGACATCCATTATCAGGAATGATCTATAATCCGGACCTCAAAGCCACAAACTTATGCATGCGCATTTAATGTGTACATCTACTACGCATGCGCGTAAAGTGTTTACCCATATGCACTTCTGATATTGAAGAAAGTGACAGAGAGGTTATTGAAAGCGAAAAAATTTCGATTGACAAGTTAGTCGGTATTCTCGACACAGCAATTACAGGACTTGAATGGTGGAACTTTGTAACTGTATCAGGGTCCAATATTCCTTCTAACCTTTCTTCGGGAACATACAAGGACCTGACTCGGAACAGAGAGCTTACTAAAGCTATGTTCACTAATTGTGGTAAGTAGACAGGATACAGACGAAGGGTATACAAAACCCGTTATTTTTCTCTATATACAATAACTTCCGTACTTCGGAATACACCGACCCGCTACTCGGGGTCTAACGTAAAAGTATAAAAATAAAACTAAACTCTAATTTCACTTTAGAATAATAAACGTGGAAGATTGGCCTTATAATAACAGGAAGCGTATGTAGCACAGAGACTGTGAACACTACAATACGTTTGAATTTATCAAGAGGATTAAAACCTCTGGCCTGGAAGTCAAAACAGCAACTGCGTAACTTCTGAGGTAAGCGGCCTGCTTTGACTCACTGCTTCCTCTCTCTCGCTTGGCAAAAGGCCACAACTTAAATACTTGGCGTTCGCCAGACAAACTTTGCATAAAAATCTTCACGCTTATAATTCTGGCCGGAAGTAGAAAATAAGAAGTGATAGTAAAGATTTAAAATAAAATAAACGTTAGTAAAACTTAAGATCCTTACAACTGAACAAGAAATTATGTCTGTTTATAGAATTAAAGAGAAAGTATTAGCATAAAAAACGAAGCAACTTAAACAACTTACATTCAAAGAAATGTTTAATAAAGTCAACAAATAAATATTAAGCTTTTTTTTTTCGTGTGTGTGTAAATTTTGATACCCTTTAGATCATAATTGCTCTTTATTTCATAAATTACAGTTTCATATTTTTTAATTGTATAATTTCTGCATGCCATCTTACCAGATTTAAATTGATGTTCTATAATCTGGAATTGCCGAAGTCCCGACGAGTCCGAATTATGGACTTTGTATTGTATACCCTATATATTTGTTTTCTGTACAACATAGATGTATATAGTTACATAATTGTGCCAGTACTAATCTGAAAGAATGAAATATTTTTATTTTGGAGAAAATATAAATTCCTTTTTTGTTGCTAGAATAACATGCATGAAGCTTACTATATGCTACACATTTATAATGACATTTATTGATAAGTTGCTCAAAATATCTTTCAATTAATTTCATTAGATTGACCAAAATGGCTTTTAAAGAGCACTTTTAGATTTTCAAGTAATAAAGTAAGAGTCATACAGTCAAACTGATGTTTTTTAATACTGATTTTATAGCCTATCCGATATACAGATAGTAAGTGGCCATTGCATTTACATTTCATACTTATTTGGTTAGGAGTTAATCAAGTATACAAAATTTTCATCAAAATTTTGCATCTTAAAACAGGCTGCAGATGTTCTAGATGTATGCCACACACACATGTACACACTAACAAGCCCGAGCATTATGACCATCCCCACAGTTTTCAATGAACTTGTCTGGATGATGTGGAGGGCACGTGATTAAGTTGGAATGGTATTTAGCTGCTACTGCAGAAGGTAAGAAATCCTACTTCGAGTTACTTTTGTAAGTGATGGAAAAGGCTGCTGATCTAAGCAATTTGATAGAGGGCAGATTGTAATGGCTGAAGTATCTCCAAAACTGCATGACTGGTAGGTTGTTTATGATCTTCTGTCATTAGTATTAATGCAAAGTGGGTAAATGCCAGTGAATCCAGCAGTAGACACCAATGTGTTGGACATCTCCACATCATCAACGGAAAAGGGCGTTGGAGACGTCTCATGGGCCACTTGGTACAGCAAAATAGGCACCAGACAGTGGCTCAGGTGATAGCCCAATACAATATATATACAAGGATAACTGTTTTGGAATGCACAGTTCAGCATAAACTGTTGGATATGGGACTGCACAACAGACATCCCACACGTGTACCTCTGTTGAACAAGTGTCATTGTCAGTTACACCTACAGTGGACCTGGGAACATTGAGGATGAGCCATGGATAAGTGGAAGACAGTTGTCTGGTCAGATGAATCATGATTTCTCATTCATCACGTCAATGGTCGTGTCAGGATACACTGTCTTACAAGTCAACAGTTGCTCCCCCTCTTCTGTATAGCAGGTCATACACAGGCTGGTGGTGGCAGTATTATGCTTTGGCAGAGGTTCTTATGGACAGCTCTGAGACTGTTAGTTGTAATAAAAGAGACCATGAAAGATGCAGTCTATCTGAACATAACTGTGGATCTGTTGCACCCTCACGGAAATGAAATCTTCCAGCAGGACAGGTACAACCTCTCTACAGTCATCTACCAAGATCTTGTGGCATCCATGCCAAGTGGAGTTGAAGCTGTTTTGTACTCCAAAGTTCATGCAACATGTTATTGTGTAGTCGGTCATAATGTTTTGGTTCTTCAGTGTATATAGTAGAAGAAATAAAGCGATAAAAATGCCATTTACTATTTATATGATAAAAATGCTATTTAATATTTATATGACGTATTCTTTTTCTGTTTTTAATACAATGCCTGTTTTAATCCTTCTAGGAATGCTTTGCGAATCACTCAGAGTGGCCGTTTGGCGTCAGTATCTTCTTTTGAAGATAAGATATTCTTAGGCCATAAAGGGAAGGACTTTCAGTTTTCAGACTTGAAATCTATAAAAGTAGAATTCTGCGAATGCAGTGCTTTAGAACCAGGAGAGGGCTCGTCTACTGAAATTTTGCAGTCTTTTTGGATATGGTTATCTAAAATAGCATAATAATAATTTTTTAATGAAGCTCAATTTCTCGGTGTATTTCATTTCATTTTAATGTGATGAGTACATTTTGTTTATTTTCTTGTGAAATTTATTAATTTATATTTTTTTATTGCTATACACATCCAGTTTAAAGCATTTATCTGTTCATGTGTAATAAGTATTAATTTAAAACTAAAGGTTTTATGAAAGCAGTCTGAACATAAATCCAGCATTTTTTATGTGAAATTTTCTTTTTATTAAAGCTTGTCTTTCTCATTTCACCTATTTGTCTGTTTTTTTTTTACAAATTTCAGATAATTAATTTATAAGAGCACATAGTTTGTTTATATGTTTCCTTTTGTAGTTTTAAAGAAGTAATGTTTCTTAACTGGTTAAACTTCACATTTATATACCTTTTAAAATGTTTAAGTCTTAAATGGGCTGAAGCTTAATTTATGATCACTTGCTAGTAAAATTTCTGATTAAACCCAGTTGATGCAGCTGTAAAGAAGTTTTTAGTGTCATTGCATGGCATTAATCATTAAAGGGCATAAATCACTAAATAGCTTATTAGCATCACTGAATGTCTTGAAATGTTATATAATCACTTGAAATATGAATAACTGATCCATCAAATAGTAGAGTGTAGAATCTGATTTTTTTGGGCTTGTTTTAGTTTTATATTATTATTTTTAACTCGAAGAATATGTTACTCAAGTAATCTTAAAATATTAATTATATAATGATTAACTTAGTAAATATCTCTAGGGGAAAAAATCATACCTATTACATTAAAACCATGCTGTTATGCCATGTAGATTATTTTCATAAGGCATTTTCTTAAATGTTTTTTATTTACACCATTGAATATTAATATTTCTAATGATGTGCTTAATAAATTCTAACTCATTGTTTACAATTTGTTTTATATGTGCTAAGTGTTATGTAACTTTTACACAAAAGTGTTATGCATGTTGTGTTACATGTATCCAGAATTATTATCAGTGCTGTAATTTGATGATATAGTAGGTATAATCACACTTTATCTGAGATGTTTTGATACATAAAAACTAGAAATATATTTGATTAAATTTTCACAGTGTTAATCAGAAGTCATTCTCTTGATCATAATGCATTATCATCTAAATTAAATAAATTCCTGTAACCATTGTAAATTGAATGTGTGTCAGCTACAAATTTAAATTAAATAAAATTTACTCAGCCTTTTGTATTTTTCGTTTTCTTTTAAAAATATTCAAATGATTAGAGAATATAGTGATAAAGTATATTCTTATTTGGTGTAATAAGTTTCATTGTTGAAACTGATGCAGCAGTGTGAAAAATGTTGAAAAAGAATATATTCATTTATTAAAAATGTGTCCAGATCTCGCTAGGTTTTTAGTGCTTTATTCCATGATGAGGGTTGTATAGTCTGCAAAGTTTGAAAACAAACTCAGCAGAAAACCTATTTTCAGAGGACAAGTTCATCTAGCATTTTTAGAGGTTTTCCAACTAATTACTAATTGCTGTACATTTTGCACAAATTACTCTTCACAGATTATCTGCACTCATGGTTATGGAAAAAATATATGGTGTGTTCAAATCATGAAAATTTCTTCCACGAAAATAAAGAATAGCCATTTATTTTCAAGTGTAGTCTTGGTCTTGCAGAATATTACAGGAGAGAAATAGGTTCATGATGCTCCAAAATGATGATTAACTATGCATAATATGTTCACCTATAGTTGATGTCCAGTAAGCTGACATGTTTTTGATGGGTTGATAAAAGAGTAAAAGTATTTCAACCCTAGAATTTTTCAGTAAGTAAACAAAATGTGGTCCTAAGTTTTTTATTGGCCAAATGCAAATGGTGATCAATATGTATAGAAGGATGCTTTTCATATATTGTGGAAAAGTAGTGTCTCATAAAAAACTGCCCATAAATGTAACATTTAGTTATGAAAATACGTTGGGTAATTCTAGAAACTCCAGATCTGGCTACTAAAGCATAATTGTTATATTCATCATAATTGATGGAGTAACTGAATAACTATATGAAGGAATCAAACACACCTACTGTCTGACTGCAGGTGAAATAGTGCTACATATCGCACTATTATGTATGGTGTTTCTTCACTACTTGATGTTATGAACTTTCTCATAACATTTGTTAAGGTCATGGCTATGCATTTGAAAATCAAAGAATATTCCATATCTACATAAGAGAAATTTTTAGGCTATTATGATCTTTTCATTTGATTAAATCAAGTACGTCGAAAAATTAAATAAATGTGTGTAGGTTTTACTTTTATATTGGGAAATATGCTGATTAAAATTAAGATGTATAAAGGAAATAATTGGAACTATTAACTAATAATCTCCTCAAGTGCATGATTTATTTTGTATTCATATGAACAAAGACTGTTTTCAAAGCTTATAGTTCATGGTATGAAAGTTTTGATCAACGCCATCATGGATGTGAACTGAAATCTGATACCACTAAGCTAAAAGCAGTTCCATAAGAGATGGTCATTTCTTTCTTAATTATATATTTCTTATTTATTGATCTGCATCATATGTATTTTTCTATAAATTTTAAAACTTTAAAATTATAATTTATTCTTCCTTTTAATAATTATGCATCAATTTTTTGTATTTTATTTGAAATTAATAATTTTATATTTCTTTTTATACATTATGTTTGAGATTGCTATAGTACTTTTAATTGCATTGGAGGATTTAAAACAATTAAGTGTAGTAAGTTTTAATTTTAAAAAAATTAAAGTATGGAGTTTATTATTTAATTATAGTTTGTTGTTCATTTCATTTCTGCAAATGTTGTGTTAAAAAGTATGAAAGACATTCTCATGTAAGCAAAACAATGATGTGTAACTAACATGTTTAAAATTAAAAAAATCTTTTATGATTATTTTTGAAAAATACATTAATATATGGCTATCCAGGAACTGATTTTAAAGATTTGAAATTTCTCTTGACTTTGGTTTCCAAAGATTCATGTGGTATTTATAACAGTTTTATCTTCGTTTAATATAAGTGTGACCAATTTCCTTTAGAAATTAGATGTTCCTTTCTTTAAACCAACAGTCCTTGAGAGCTTTTTTTAATTAATGAATGAAATCAAGCTCATGAATAATAATAATAATTTATTGTATTTTCATTTGTTCTATAAAGCATGAAAAATCTTTTTGCTGTAATAAAGAGGAAATTTTCATATTTAGGCTGCACAGGAAACTTTTGAACTGTTAAAAGTAGTCATGTTTGCCCTTAATCATCTTCATCTGAAGAAACACGAGAAAATACTGATCATTTTCACACTTTTCAATGTAATAAAATACCTAATTTACACAGGGTAAGAGAAATAATTCATGAGCTAATAAATGTTATATGAAATTGTTGTTCTGAGCTCTACAAATAATTTTTTAGCCTTGTTAGCATTGAAATTTCTTTATTTGGCTGCACAGAAACAAATTCAGTAGCATAATTAGACATTTTTTGTCACCTCTCATTGCAATTCAAAAAATCAAATTTGTGGCATGTTGAAACGCCGTAGAGGAGAATAAAATAAAAGCTGTGAACTAATTTTTGATATAAAACTTTAATTTCAACATTTTAAAAGTGCTATTTTGCTTGTTTTTCTGTTAGCAAAATTATTCTAGAAGTTTGCTTCATTATCCTAGTTGCTCCTTAAATAGTGCAGCCTATATTAAATACAAGATGCTTAATTTTTTATCTTAGGGGACTTTTATTCGATTTTTGCCTAAAAAACTACTTCCACAATGAGTAATATTCGAAAGTATTCGAGTGGAGAAAATTCGAAGTAGAATTGCTATGTCTAGAATTTTGTTTTGGAAACTATTTTAGAATGAATTGTAAAAGTTCAAAGCAACAGTTCTTTCATTTCTTGGTTTTATCTTACTAAACAATACAAGCAGTAATGGGAATAAAACTCTGAAGTATTTCTCTCTCAGTGAGAAATTCTCCCTTATTTATGTCTTTAAAATCATAATTTAATTTCATTTGTATTTTCTATCCAAAAATTTTGTTGGAAGTAGACTAAGTCATAACACGAAAATTAAGCTATTGAAATCTCTTTATAATTAAGCTATTGAAATCTCTATATATTTGTCCAGTGTGAAAACAACTCCCTTCTCAATTTAGTCATCACAATTCGTCAATATCACTATTCGTCATCTAGTGATTCTTCACTTCGTCGATGACCGAGTGGAAAAGATGGCCCAATACTGGTAAATTGACTAGGGTCAAATCCCAAATAATGGGATAGCTGCCATATGTGGCTTACATTATATGTAACCTAGAGTATGTAACGTTTTGTTCAAGCATACATGAAAGTGAATACAAACCACTGCCTCTTTGACAGAATGAATATGAGCCAATTCTCATTTTAAGCCCTTCGTGGAGAATTCCTTAGACAGATAACTGTAATGAACTAATATAATCCGTAAATTTCACTTCGGAGTTTTTCTGATTTTTCACATGAAAGATGCTGCTCGGGGCAGACCGCGCCACTTTAGCTACACCACTGGGCAGATTGTCAATAAGTCGTTGTAGTCACTCTTGACAGATAAAGATAGTTTTAAATTTAAATGATTGCTTTAACATACTTGAATTTGTGGGGTGATCTCCTTAATGAAAATTTTTCTTTCTTTGTGTAAATAGAGTAAAATCCCAGTATAATGACAAAAGATCTATCTGAGCAGTTGCAATTTATCCATTGAATAATTAATCCGCGTTTAAAAACTGTGTAAGTTTTTAAATTTAGTAATATGGTTCTGCAATGTAAATTTCAAATAGTAAATGGAAAAATTTCATTTTTTCACCACAATATGTAAGAAAAAGAACAATGGATATTCTCTGATGATGAAAAAGGATCTTTTATAAAAAGTAAAAGAAAGCTGAATGGTAAAACAAGATACCACCTGTAATATCAAAGGTGGGCTTCATCTTGAGAAGATAATGCTGTGTGGAGAGAGATTAAATATATTAATTGTGCGGTGTTTCCTGAAAATCAAATCATGACTCTTTGACATTAAAAGGAAGTTGTATTCTGCAGATGCAATGCAATACTATGTGCTATAAGTGAAATATATATATATATATGTTCACTACCATCTTTCTTCGATCATTTCAACACCAGCAAATGGGTCATAGAAGACAGTGTTAGTGATAATAGAACATTGCCGAATCAGATAAAATTAGAGATGATTTTTAAAATAGGATTATGAATATTTTCAGTATTTTTTTTTTTTAAACGAACACATTGAGTATGAGCAACAGTTGCTCGGACTTTTGTGGCATTTAACATCATAAGCATAATCATTAACCGGATAGCTTTTGTATTTCAACGTTTAATTTGGAATTTGCGGGTAAAATGTAATGGAATTCAAGCATTTCGAATTCGGTAGGTAAGGAAAATAAGGTCATTTGTTGTTCTTTCTGTATCAAGTAAAATTAAACTGGAATTTTTGGAGGATTTAAATAATACAAAAAGATAATACAACACAGTGCATGCTTTTTTAAGGAGCTGTTAATTAATTAAATATGAAAATATCTATGACAGGTAAATTTATACTATACTGTTGCGAGTTAAGCATTCATCGATATCTCTTGAAATAAGCACTAGATAAGCGGGGGGAGATATTATAAAAATTCACGTCACACAGCACAATAAAGCACAGCAGAAATTTTAAAACCAGGTTCAAGGAAATTTAAATTCTGAAGTAAAATTTCAAACAGCTTAAAATCTGTCACTCATAACACTAGATTAACGCACATTAGCATGGTACAATATGAAATATATATATATATATGTAAGATAAAAAATATAAAAGCAAACTTCTAAATT